TCCCACTCCCCCACGCTGTGATATCATTTGTGTGAAATTTTAACACATGGGAGCATAGGCTTGAATGGAGAGAATGCTGAAAGGAAATAGGAGATTCTTGTCCCTTTGCTCATACAGAGAATGGAAAAGAAATCATTTCAGATATCTTAATTTACACTAAAGGGATCACATGGGTTGTCAGTTTGGCCATTGCCTTTCATCAAAGGCTCTCTAAGCATCTCGTGAGCATACTCACTAATCCTCTAAACACTCTCGTGAAGTTGGTAACTGGCAATAGCATGGGGTCCATTTTCGTATGGAGTAAATGGAAGCACTGAAATCCTAAGTGATATTTTTATCTTCTACTCAGAAATGTCTTACTACTTTACAGGCCAGTATTATTATCAACTTTATGGAGCTTAGTGAGATTATGTGATTTGCCCAACCTCAGGGAAGAATTTGGCATAGTATCAAAGCTCTTTGAGTCTTATCTGCTTTACTAAGTTTATTCTTCACCCTCTACTTCCATCCTCAGCCCTGCCATTTAATCTAGTGTTTTAAATCTTGTAAAAAAAAAAAAAAAAGAACTTCAAATCATATAATTTTGTGAGCTTCTGAGGTACTACCCTTGGTTCTTGTTAGGAATCAGTTGGCACCTTCTTTATTCTACAATAATTTCTTTGATATTGAACTGGTGTTAGTAACATTGTATAATAAAACTTACCCAGTTTCTGACAATTAGAATATTTAACTAAGTAAAACAGAATGGGGCTATCTTAGATAATAACATCTAATTTTGCAAACAAAATTTATCTCTTTATATCAAATATTTATCTTTTCAATTCCAGCAACGGCAATTCTAGTAGTAACTAGAATTTTGATCCCAACTGTGTTAAATTTTTTTGTCACCATGACCTGACTAAATACTTGAGTGAAACAATATAAAGGAAGAAAGATTCTTTTTTTGGGGGGTGGGGGTGGGAGTCTCACTTTCAAAAGTTCCGAGTCCAAGTGGCATGAAGGGTGTGGTGGAATAGAGCAGCTCACAACTTGGCAGCCAGGAAGCAGAGAGAATGCCTACATTGTGGACTTTCTCATTTTTTCCTTTATCCCCTTCTGACACCCCTCCCCCCCAGCCTATGGTATGTGCTACCCACATTCAGGGCTGGTTTTCTTCCCTTATTCTTCTCTAGAACCATGCCCCAGACATACTCAGAAATGTGCTTTACTAATCTAAAGTGCTCCTTGACCCAATTCAGCTAATTAACCAAGGTATCCTATAAACCTAGCTAATTGGGAAACTGAGAATGAGAAGAGTACCATCAGAGGCCAACCCAGACAGAAATGTTTGTGAGTCCCCTTTGTTAACTGATACCTGGGCCAGGTGGTGCATGTCTCTAATCCTAAGCAACATGGGAGGATCTTCGTTCTAAACTAGCCTGGGCAGAAAAGCCCATAAAATTCCATCTCAGTGGATAAATGCTGGGCATGGTTGTGTGCTCCTGTTATCCTAAGCTAGATCAGAACCTAAAGTAGGTTCAGATCATGGTCCAGGTACACACTGGGACAGAAAGTTAGACTGTCTCAAAAAAATAACCAGTGCAGAAATGGGCTAGAGAAGTTGATCAGCAGTCAAGCACCTGCTTGGCAAGTGCAAGGCCCTGAGTTCAAACACCAGTACTGAAAAACAAAAACTAACCTCAAGATACCTAAAGATAGACCATAATATTTAAGTTATGGGCATATGTGGGAATTTGGGTAAATCAGAAGTGAGAAGTTGCTCACAGAAGTTATACGATTACCCACAAGAGGGAGATATATTCACACTGTTGTGCAACTATCACCACTATCCATTTCTAGAATTTTTTTCATCTTATTAAACTGAAACTACAATAATTTCCCATTCTTCTCTCCTGCTAGCTTTTGGCGACCACCATTTTATTACCTTTTCTCTATGAATCTGATTGCTTTTATGTGAGTAAAATCCTAAAAGTTTGTCCTTGTGGCTTGTTTTACTTAGTGTAAGTCTTCAGGGTTCATTTGTGGTTAGCATAGGTCAACTTTCCTTCCTTTTTTAGGGTACATAATATTCCATTGTATGTGTACCATATTTTGTTTTATCTGTTTATCTGTCAGTGGATAAACTGACAGTGGATGTTTGGTTTGTTTGTTTTTACTATTATGAACAGTGCTTCTGTGAATCTTGTTATACAAATATTCATAAACATTCCTGCTCTTTTAGTTTGAGATGTGGAATTTGTAGATCATATCAGTAATTCTAGTTTTAGTTATTTGAGGAATTGCCAAATTTTATATAGCCACTGCATCATTTTACAACCCAGTCAGCTGTGCACAAGGAGTTCAGATTTTTTTTTTTACATCCTTACTAACACTGTTTTTTTCCAATTTTCTGTAGTAGCCATCATAATGGATATGGACCTGGTATCTCATTGTGGTTTTAACTTGCATTTTTCTAGTGATTAGGGGTGTTGGACATCTTTTCATATGCCTAATTGCCTTCTTTGGAGAAGTGTGCATCCAAGTCTTTTGCCCATTTTATGTGCCCATTTTTTTTATTAACCAAGCTAATAGCCATGGAAACCTCTTATAACTTTACGAAACTTCCAGAAGGATATCACTTTTGTTAATCAATACTGGTAGTATTGTAGTAAATAATATTTTAGAAAAAGTATCTGTCTCATAGCTAATTGAGTTTGGCCTGTTCTCTCGCTATGATTTTGTCCATCTCTTCTTTATCCTGTTGACATCATCCTGATTTACTTAGCATCATATCATTTTTATATTACAGTTGTCCAGGGGTAGAGAATTGTTTTGTGTATAGTAGATACTTAACTATTGATAAGTAAGTCAACAGTGTTTCATTCTAATAAATTGGTAAGAACTGACCATAAATTTTAGTAAATTTGTTCATCTTTACCTCTCCAATTCCCTCCCCCTAAGTTCAACTAAGATTTATTAGGAACAAGATCTGAGATTTGAGTTTCCCTTCTCTCAAAATTTATGATAGTAAGCCACACAAACTTTTCCCTATAGGCTAAGTGATTTCTTAGATGTCTTCTAGTCTTAAAATTAAATCTTTTTAAGATACTTATACATATGTCCAGCTTTATTACTATATTTCCCTTAAGCATATTTTTAGGTTCTGGCCATACATAAACTGGAAGATAATAGCCTATTTTAACTGAACTTCTTAGTTTTTCATATTTCCTTGTTCTTAGATCTACCTAGGACCTAATCTGGAAACCTTTTAATTCCAAACACTGAGTAACTTTCGAAGAATTAGCCATGATAATGAAGCAGTAATATTTTGAACAGTTAAAATCAGTCTGAGTATGTTCCTCACTGAAAGATTGCATTACATCTTAACAGAATTGACTACCCAAAAAAGCGATGCTATACTGTGTAACTTTGCTTTTGATTTCTACTTTTGAACTGTTTTAAAAACCAGAACATCTCAGGTACCTAAATAGAGCAATGTGTAATTAAATATAAATACTATTAAGTATCAGTTGCCATTTTTATTTGTTCATACCTCTATTTTCTTCCTGCTTCCATGAGAATTTAGTAATTTAGTTTAATTTGATTTTCAATTGACTTCTGAAAACTACAAATAGTTATTTAAACCAATTTAATCTCAAGGACTAATATTGTGAATGACTAATGAGGAATGGCAAAATTAAAGTCTTTGAGACATTAACTTTTGAATATTAATTACTAAGTAATTTTCAAAGATTGACCATTTATTCCATTTTTTTCTGTTCCTGTTGTTCATAAATCAGTAATTATTTGTAAATGGTAAATTTCTACAATCTACACAAAATTTTTGAGAGGGTCTCTAATGCAACCTTTATAATGCAGTCTTTTAAATAATGCTGTAATTCTCTAAAACTTTAAATTTTAATATCTGTTTCCCTGGGACCAAGGAGGTACTTTTTAATGCTTCATTTGTCAGTGGAAAAACTAGTTTTAATTTATATTGACCTTTTCTCCTTTGAGCATTTAGTCTGCATTCAATAAAATGTTGATGACTGCTCTTTAGAAGACAGCTGTACGAAATAAAGTATTATAAATATTCAGCTTTCCTTTCTAAGCATTGTCACCAACAGCTGGGCATCCAGTTTAGCAGAACAGATTTTGCACAGGGAGAGCCTGGCATGTTCCTGATTCAGTTTAGTGAAGGAAACAAAAAATAGTTTCTTACGGATTGGGGACTTATAAAGACATAGAGCATCTGTTCCTTGGTTAAGTCATAGGCTGGTTGCACTGAATCATGTTTAATGCTACAATAATGTGCAAAACTTTTTTCACCTTGTGAATACATTTAACACCTATTACTCTGGTTCTGCAAATAATACATTTTTAATGTCTCCATTAAAGGTATGTGTATTATTATGGTCTAATCTAAAAATTTATATAGGTATCTTTTTTTCCCAAAACAGTGGTCCATATTTATAAAGCTACATATATATACATAATAAATATATATAAATACATAAATATATATTTATGTATATTATGTATATATTTTGACATATTTATATACATAAATATATAAATCACTATATATACATATATAGTGATTTAGATATTTGATTATGATCATAAGTTAAAGCATGCTATTAAAAACAAATAAACAAAAAGATAATTCTTTCAACTAGTAAAAATCGGCTTAGACTTTTTGCATATCTTACCCTTAAATATTTGCCTACTTAAAACATGTAAAATCTAGCTGGGCACTGGTGGCTCACACCTGTAATCCTAGCTACTCAGGAGTCTGAGATCTGAGGATCGCGGTTCAAGCCAGACTGGGCAGGGAAGTCCATGAAACTTTTATCTTCAATAAACCACCAGAAAACCAGAAGTGGCGCTAGAGTGGTAGAGTGCTAGCCTTTAGCTGAAGAGGGACAGTGCTCAGGCCTAGGCCCAGAGTTCAAGCCCCATGACCAAAAAAAAAAAAAAAAAAAAGGAAAATCTAAAACTCTTTAAATATTTATTTACAGTGTTAGAAGGTCACTGAAACTGGATGATCCACTAGAAGAAAATGTAAGTATTTGCTTAAGAATCGCTAGCATGGGAGCTGGGAAAGTGGCTCAGTGGTAGAGTGCTTGCCTTGCATGCATGAGGCCCTGGGTTCAATTGCTCAGCTCTACATAAGCACAAAAAGCCGTAAGTGGCGCTGTGGCTCAAGTGGTAGAGCACTAGCCTTGAACTGAAGAGCTGAGGGCTAGTGCCCAGGCCCAGAGCTCAGGCCCCATGACCAACAACAACAAGAAAAAAGAATTGATAACATGATAAGACTGTTGTTTTGTGCAATTACTGGAGCTTGAACTCAAGATCTCACACTCTTGCTTAGCTTTTACAATTAAATCTGATTATCTCTTAAGCCACACTTTCACTTCTGGCATTTTGCTGATTAATTGGAGATAAGCAACTCATGGATTTATCTGCCTAGGCTGGCCTTGAACTAGGATCATTAGATCTCAGCTTCCTGAGTAGCTAGGATTATAGGCAGGAGCTACCAGCACCCAGCAATTACGGTTTTTTGCTTTGTTTAGGGTTTTTTTTTTGGTGCAGTCTTAGATTTTCAACTCAGGGCCTAGGTGCTGTACCTGAGCTTTTGTGCTCAAGGCTAGGGCTCTACCTACCACTTGAAATACAGCTCCACTTCTAGCTCTTTGGTAGTTAATTGGAAGTGAGAGTCGTATGCACTTACCTGTTTGGACTGGCTTCAAACCACAGTCCTCATATCTCAGCCTCCTTAGCATCTAGGATTACAAGCATTAGCCACCAGGGCATAGCCCATGCATAGCCCAATTGTGTTCACTGTCAATTACTGATTTACCTTGGTAGATATAAAAACGTTCAATGAGCTGGGAAGGTGGCTCTGTGGAAGAGCGCTTGCCTTGCATGCATGAGGCCCTGGGTTCGATTCCTCAGCACCACATAAGCAGAAAGAAAAAAGCCGCAAGTGGCGCTGTGGCTCAAGTGGTGGAGTGCTAGCCTGGAGCTGAAGAGCTGAGGGACAGTGCCCAGGCCCAGAGTTCAGGCCCCACAACCGGATCCCCCCCCCCCCCCCCCCCCCCCCCCCCCCCCCCCCCGCCAAAAAAAAAGTTCAAAAAAACAAGTGACATAATTGTAAGGTACACTGTTTCTTTTCTTCCTTTTTTTTGGGGGGGGAGGGGAGGTCTGGTCCGATCATGGGGCCTGAACTCTGAGCCTGGGTGCTGTCCCTCAGCTCTTCAACTCAAGCTAACACTCTACCACTTGAGCCACAGTGCCACTTCTGGCTTTTTTTTTTTTCTTCTGCTTATGTGGTGCTGAGGAATCAAACCCAGGGCCTCAAGTGCATGCAAGGCAAGCACTCTACCACTGAGCCACCTTCCCAGCTCATTGAACGTTTTTATATCTACCAAGGTAAATCAGTAATTGACAGTGAACACAATTGGGCTATGCATGGGCTATGCACTGGTGGCTCATGCTTGTAATCCTAGATGCTAAGGAGGCTGAGATATGAGGACTGTGGTTTGAAGCCAGCCCAAACAGGTAAGTGCATACGACTCTCACTTCCAATTAACTACCAAAGAGCTAGAAGTGGAGCTGTATCTCAAGTGGTAGGTAGAGCCACCTTCCCAGCCCCGCTGTTTCTTGCATATGAAATATCTTTTATAAATCACATATGTGGAATTTTCTGGCCAGTTTAAGGTATTCACTTAGAAGCAAATTATTTAGAAGCTTTAAATAAATTTATTGGTAGGAAAAAATAGAATGCCTTTTAAATGTAAGAAATAATACAGCATACTTGCAATACTTTAATCTACATATTATAATCTTAATTAAAATAAAAACATCAGTAACATTTTCATATCAAAAATGGAATTATTTTCCTGTTGTCCTTTTATTTTTATGCTGGCACAGATCCAACAACAAAGTACCAACACTGTCATAAATTTCACCATGGTTATCACAATAAAAATTAAATAGTACTGCTGCTATTACTTTTGTAAGTCTAGTCATAGCACATTCCTAGTGCCAGCATGTCATGACATATGTTAGTTTATTATCATACCACTGTGGATTTAGATACAAACACTAATACCAAAATAATTATGATTTTGGTAATTTCAAGTCTAAATAAACTGATGAGAAAGTAAATGAAAATACTTAACATATAATGTACTCCTGCAAAATCTCATGAGAATGTCATTTTAAGAAATGGATTTTATATGGAGTTTCTCTTTGGAAGATATACTGGTATTTAACAAAACTGAAATATTTACCATTTTAAAAACTTTCTAAATGCTTTTTTAAAAAAAATCGTACACCAAGGTGGCAAAATACTGCAATGACACTAAAAAAAAATCATTAACAGTGTAATTAGCAATTTAGAGTACCATTATCCAACTTGTTCTGTGCAGAATGCAGCTGTGACTGTAATTCTGCATCTGTTTCTTTGGTCAGAATGGTATTTTGGTAGATGAGTAGTCCAGCTTGAAATGAAATACTGTTCTTTTCTGCCCGAAAGCTCTTCCTTGGGAGATGGAAACATTATTTAAATGGGGAAGAATGACCATTTCAGAATCCATTCTCTTCATGAAGCACAATTGTCATCACAACGGGCTTTCTATTCTTTTTTTTCCTGCAGATGAGAATCTAGCAAAGAGACTAGTGCTGCTAATAATAGCCTGTATTTTAAAATAATTATTATTATATTTGGGCCAGTTCTGTACTTTTAAACCAGTTACTTTGAATGTTAACTCAGCTTTTACTTGCTGCTGGTCATCTATTCATATTTTCTACTTTTCATGGTTCAGTCCTGACAGGTTGAATGTTTCTAAGAATTTGTCCATTTTAGTCTGATTAAATAATTAATTAATTTTTGTCGGTCATGGAGCTTGAACTCTGGGCCTGGACGTTGTCCCTCAGCTCTTTAGCTCAAGGTGAGTGCTCTACCACTTGAGCCACTGTGCCACTTCTGGTTTTCTGAGTGGTTTATTGGCGATAAGGGTCTCAGGGACTTTTCCTGCTTGGGCTGGCTTTGAACCATGATCCTCAGATCTCAGCCTCCTGAGTAGCTAGGATTACAGGCGTGAGCCACCGGTGCCCGCTTTGATTATTTAATTTGTTAGACCGAATGATAAGTAGAATCTCTTTATGATCTCTTATTTCTACAAGGTCACTACAAGTTAAATATCATTAATCTGAAAATCTGAAATGCTGTTTGATTCAAGAATGTCTAGCAGTAAGTAGAGAGTTACATTTGTCCCCCTCCTATTAGTAAATCTTAGTAAATCTATGACCGTTTCAACATAAGATTTTTGTACCTCTATAAAAGTTCCTGAGTAACTTGAATACATTCTTCTCTCCTTTCTTAGTCTCCCATCTGGGATGAGATACAAACTACCAATTGTGTTCCATTGTACTTACCCTGTAGCTCAGTGATACATGTTCATAGTGGTCTTACAACATGTAAATGAAACCTTTTTCTCTTTAGCCACCATGACATCACAATCACTACTGTAGCAGGGCAGGATACTGGCTCCAGATACTGTAAAAAAACACAACAGGTCTTTATCCAAGACAAAAGCCCACAATTTTGAAAGGTTAATTTCAGCCCTTATTTCATACATTCATTCTTAAGCAGCACGATGGGTGTTTGAAGGACTCTTGTCATTGAGATGGGTTTATTTGAAGGGTGATTTGCTATAGTGAATTCTTTGTTTTGCCAGTCCTGGGATTTGAACTCAGGGCCTGGGCACTGTCTCTCAGCTTTTTTTGCTCAGGGCTAGTGCTCTACCACTTGAGCCACAGAGCCATGTCCAGCTTTTTCTGTGTATATGGTACTGAGGAATCGAACCCAGGGCTTCATGCATGGTAGGCAAGCATGCTACCTCTAAGTTACAGTCCCAGCCCTGTAGTGAATTCTTCCTGTACCTCCCACTATCATTCCAAAAACCTATATTTACCAACTCCAACTTTTACACACACATACACACAAGTGCATACACTCATACACACACACACACATCATTGTGCATGGTAGGCCTAACAATATCACTGAAGGCTGACTCAAGTATGGAGCAAACCCATTCCTTCGGATTAGAGGATTGGAATAAGCATCCTTGTTACAAATGTAGATACCTCATCTGATCTTCGCTTCCTTTTCCTGGCTCATGCTAATTTCCTGTACCACTTTTTTTCTTTTTCTTTTCCTTTCTTTTCTTTTTTTTGTTGTTGTTGGTCAGGGGGCTTAAACTCAGGGCCCACATTATGGTATATTTTAAGAAAGGAATACTACTCAACAATAAAAGAATATACTACTAACACATATGATCTCAAAACAAGGTAAGCAGCTGGGCACCAGGTGGCTCACAGCTGTAATCCTAGCTATTCGGGAGGCTGAGATCTGAGGATCACAGTTCAAAGTTAGCCCAGGCTGCAAAGTCTGTGAGAATCCTATTTCCAATAAACTACCAAAAAAAAAGCCAAGAGTAAAGCTGTGGCTCCAGATGTAGAGTGTTATATGTGAGCAGTAGAAGCTCAGGGATAGCACCAAGGCTCTGAGTTCAATCCCCAGGACCAACACACCACACACACACACACACACACACACACACACACACACACACACACACACCCCAAAAAAAAAGCAAACAATCCCCAGGACCAACACACCACACACACACACACACACACACACACACACACACACACACACACACACACACACACACACACACACACACACACACCCCAAAAAAAAAGCAAACAATCCCCAGGACCAACACACCACACACACACACACACACACACACACACACACACACACACACACACACACACACACACACACACACACACACACAAAAAAAAAGCAAACATGTTAAGCAAAAATGTCTTTCATTTATAGGAAGTTCAAGAATAGGCAAAATTATGTGTGGTTATTGGAATTAGAAAATGGTTGCAACCGAGCCTGTAAGAAGGTCTGGATAGTAAAATGTATATCTCAGCTGGTGGTTTCATCAGTTTTATATACTGAGAACTCACAAAAGTCAGCAAGTTGAACTAGATCTGTGTATTTTATTGCAGTAAACCATAGTTCAGTAAATAAAAACCTATCTAGGTTGGAATAAGCTTCATATTCGGAAAAATAAGAGGATTATGAAAGTAAGATGGGAAACAGCCATGAAAATGCTTCATAGAAAATATCTTGAGGATTACTAAATCAGTACAATAATATATCCTTTTCCACTGGCATAACTTTCTTACATTAAAATTATTATAGTATCATAAAATTATGGAAGAATAATGAGCACAAATAGAAAAACCAGTATATCAACCTTTTCAGCTGAAGTTTTATTTTTCCTGTTAAATTTTTTAAATATTAAATTGATAAATCATTAAATTCACAGATCTTGAATGTACATTTCAATGAATTTTAATGAATACATAGCCCTGTATATCAAATACCCAATCAAGAAGTAGTACATTTCCATTATTGAAGATCTGATATCTTGATCCTCTTCTTTCTCTACTTTCCAGTAGGATCACTAGATATGTATAAATCCTTTTGTGTTTTATATTTAAAAAACAACAACAAAACTCCAGTGTTTATAAACCACTAAGTCTGGTAATTGTAGCAGCTGATATTAGTTGATCCTTGTTACTTTTCCAGGAACTCAAGGCCCAAAATGTGAAAAGTACCTAATCCTGTTAGATTTTTAAATTCTCTAATATAAATTCTATAACTACTACTAAGAGTGCTTTCCACCCTTCTATATGTCATCTCAAACTATATGGATGCTGAGTTTGGGAAGATCATAGAGCCAGGCTAGCCTGGACAGAAAAATGAGTTTCTATTGAGGGAACCTGGATGAGGTATCATGCACCTATAATCACAGCTACAATAGGAAGCCTAGAGTTGGCAGGTCAAGGCTTAGGCATGTACCTGGATTGGAAGAAAGACCCTATCCTAAAATAATCAGTGAAAAACAAGCTATATATGGCCCAATAGTATCATGCCAGTGCAAGGCCCTGAGTTTTCAAACTCCTAGTACTACCAAGAAAATATTATCTTGCTGGGCTTGGTGTTATATGCCTGTATTTTCCCCCACTGAGGAAACTGAAGCAGGAAGATGATAAGTTTGAAGCTAGTCTGGGCTACATAGTGAATTCCAGGCCTGTAACACAGTAAGGTCTGTCTCAAAATTAAAAAAAAAAAAAAATACAACTTTAGCTGCCTTTTTGTTTTTGATTAGATACCTATAAAGTACCTATGTTTTAAATATTTCAGTGATGGCATAGACAAGTAATTCATAATAATAATTTTATATTCTGTATTTCATTATGAAATGACCCTTAGTACTTTGTAGATTATACATAATGGGTTAAAAAAAAAAATCAATGAAATGCAGGCATCTTTTTTGGTAGAATGCTTTAAACAAGGTGATGAAGCAAGCTACAATTGGCAAAGGATATTGAAGGAAAATGTCATATCTCTTTGAAGTTATAGAGTGATCATTGATCACTTCTTACACATAAAAATCAATGCCTGAATTTTAGTTTTGCTACTATACAAGATTTGTCCTCTTAAAAAATAAAAGTTTAGCATTTGGGCTGGTCATTAACCAAATCTTCAAACATGGCCTTTTTGTTTAGTTGTTCTGTGATAAATTTGTTCTAAATATCTATGTACTCAGTAACTATTTGAAGCAGTTATATAAATTATTATAGAACTGGTTGTGACATCTATTTCCTTGCATGATTTTTTTCCCTTTTCTAGCCAAATGTTACTGCTTTTTGGAAGGGTCTAATAGAATCACTCTTTAGCATCTTCAGAGAATAAATAAAAATTAGAAAACTTGGGTAAAATCTTGAAGGAAAGAAAACTTAGGGAAGTAAGGTTTTCTCTTTGTGTATACAGGAGAGCAAGCATCTTAAAAGAAATTGTTGGGCCAGGTGCTGGTGGCTCATTCCTGTAATCCTAGCTACTCAGGAGGCTGAGATCTGAGGATCGAAGTTTGAAGCCAGCTCAGGCAGAAAAGAGACTCTTATCTCCAATTAAGTACATAATCCAGAAGTGAAGATGTGACTGAAGTAGTAGAACACTAGCCTTGAGCAAAGAGCTCAGGAAAGAGCCCAGGCCCTGACCAACAAGAAGTAAAAAAGAAATTGTTTACTGAAGAATATTTATTGGGAGGATAGGGAAAAGTAGAATTTCAGTTTTTTGTCAATCTAGAGTAGTTACTGTATATTTTTCCTTTTAACCAACACAAATAACTAAAAAGAAAAGAAAAGGAAATTTGATGTTTTTAAAGTGAGGCAAACCACACACACTCACATCCATGTGCATGCACATGCAAGACTTTTCTGAAAGCTAGAAAATTGTTTTTAAGAAGAAATATATTATCTACAGTAGCAATGTTTAGACATCTGGCAATTGGATAAAATAATTTTTGGTGAAAATAGGAAAACAGATTGACATAAACGTACTTTAGAGTAGTGACTTTCATTTCTTGTACATACACAGTGAAATAGTTCTAGGCAATAAATTCTTGGAAAAGCAGAGTAGGGATTGGATAAATGTCATAGTTTATGACTGAATATATATAAACAGGTGAAAACCAAGATGAAGAGGTAATAGTAACTCTTGATAAAGAGACTTAAGACCGTTCTACCCTACTAAAAGGATTGCTTTAGTTATAACTTGATATTATGGTTTGATTTTTTTTAAGATATTGGTTACATTTGTGGCTACTATAGATACATAAAATAAATGCTTTTTGTTCCCCCAAACAGAGAAATATTTATCATTTAAAATCTTAACTATAAAATTTTTGATACTATATATTGTTAGAATGAATACCAAGATTTTTGAGAAAGGTGACAAAGCCACTATTTCTGTCCTGGGTGTCTTAAAAATAAAGGATAGTTGACCATAGAGAATTTAGCTACCAAGCTAAAGTTTAGTTATACAGTGTTAACAGCACATGAGTCTTGAGACTTTATCCCCACATTCATCCTGAGCTATCTGTTATGCCATGACTTCTGGTTTTTCATGCTTTTTATATTCACTTATCTAACTAAGCATCAGCCATCCCTCTCACAATTATCCTTCTGTAGCAGATTACTTCACCCACATTGGTTTTCCCATCTCGCTCTTTTTTTAAATTTTTTATTATCTTTAAGTTGTTGTACAAAGGAGATTATGAATTTAACAAAGCAGTTTACAAATACAATGCATCTTGATCATTGTTACTCCTTTCAACATTCTCATCCCCTTTTGACCCTCTTCCTTTACTTTTCTGTTTTATGGTATATTCACTTTATATACCTCTGAATTTCTAGCATATATACTCACTTAAAACCTCATTTCTGGCGTGGCTAACTTGGTAGACGCTCCTTGAGGCCAGGACAATTCATTTATATATATATATATATGTATGTATGTATGTATATATGTATATATACTTATACATATACATATATATACTTATATATATACATATATACATATATATGTATTAGTTAGCATTGTTAGGTGACCAAGAAGCATAATGGAAAGCAAAATTTAAGAGAGCAAACAGTTAATAATGAGATAATGGATGTTTAAAGAAAGGATGTCATAGACTGTGAAGGTGGCTCAGTGGTAGAGCACTTGCATTGCATGCATGAGGCCCTGGGTTTGATTCCTCAGCACCATATAAGCAAAAAGAAAAAAGCCGGAAGTGGCGCTGTGGCTCAAGTGGTAGAATGCTAGCCTTGAGCTGAAGAGCTGAGGGACAGCACCCAGGCCCAGAGTTCAAGCCCCACGACTGGACCACCCCCCAAAAAAGGGATGTCATGAATTGGAGACCTAAATGAAAATAAAGAAAGAAACATTCCAAGATGATATTATAGGATAATCTGAAATTCCAGGTGCCAGTGAATGTTAGTTGAATGAACTAATGAGTATATTCTGAGTAGAATGATGTAACCAAATCTGCTGGTTGGTTCCTTTTAAGTCATTCATTCTTTATGCACTTTTGAGTTCTCTAGGGTAAAAAATGAAGAAAAAATTTCAGGAACAACTTCTATGTGGTAGACAAATGAAACCGTTAAAAGAGTATGTTACCTACAATAAGAGAAATACACATTGCCTAGGGAAATAAAAGGAGAATGCTACCAAAAGAAGTTGTAGTTAGACCAAATTCACAATTGTTTAGACATTATTTTTGTTTGGACATTATCTAATCTTCACGTTATGACACTTTCAGAGAACTGTGAACCATTTAAGAATAACTATATGAGAGAGCACTGCTCCTTTCCAGAATTTCCTTGCTGATCTTAGGAAAAAGCAACTCTGAGAGTTCAGATTCATTGAAACAAAAAATGAGTATGATGCTGTGAGACTGATATCGTTAAACCTGTTGGGAGCTACCAACTAATAAGTTAGTAACACTGTAATGTCAGAGTTGCATAAAAATCAAATTGAAATGCCCTAATTCGTGTAGAGTTCTGAAATTGCTGCATAAGTAGAATAGTGTTAGCTCTGAAGGTGGTAAATGGGTATATTTTAAATCTGAAAAGACCAGGAAAATTAGTATACATTTGAATATTGCTGGATTTTTAAGGCATTTTCAAAGATCTACAGCTAAACATAAATCTTTGTGTTCCAAATTTTTATATCTAGTCATTTGCTTCCCCAAAAATCACAAGGAAGAAAAGCATTGAAACTTACTCTCCAACAACTGGAACTTGTCAAATGAGCCCTTTTTCCTCTCCCAAAAGATCTGAAGAACAAGAGCACAGAAATAGACCAGCAAATGGTAAGTTGAACTTTCCTTTCCACGTACAGTGAGATTTTTCTAGTATTGATTAAATCAAGATTTTGATTTAATAATATGTAGATCTTGCTGCATCTGATTTTTCTCTTTTCCCAAAGAATTTAATGTAGAAAAGACTAGAATGTAGATATTACTTTGAACGTAAAAGCAAACTTTCTAGTCACTTATTTTAAAATGCTACCGTAGACTTTGTTCCTGTACTGTTCCAGCCATTAAATAGAAATTATGGTCTGATGGCCCTCAGCTACTATCAATTATAGTGGTTTCAGATACACCCCTGAACAAGCTATCCATCATGTGCATAAATTAAAGGCACAGAACTCAGGTACTGCTGCACTACAGGTTAACAGTAAGATTCCTAAACGTTGTTTTTATTCCTGATTTCCATTATTTTTAATCCACATTTACTGAATTTTTATATGGTTTGTCTTTATCATACTTCATTCCCTTCTTTTTCTAGTTATTTGAAATGCCTTTCTAAATTGTAGAATTTTTCCATAGGAAAAAAAACAACTTTTAGTATGAAATATTTTTAAGTTTTTTTAATTGAGTTATGAACATAAATAAATGTTGTGCTCCTTTAGTTTATTGCTAAAATATTTATTTTAAAGCATGAATTTCAATTTTCTAGGTTTAATTTTTTTTTTTTTTTTTTTTTTTGGTCCAGTCGTGGGGCCTGAACTCTGGGCCTGGGCACTGTCCCTCAGCTCTTCAGCTCAAGGCTAGTGCTCTACCACTTGAGCCACAGCGCCACTCCTGGCTTTTTTCTTTTTGCTTATGTGGTGCTGAGGAATCGAACCCAGGGCCTTGAGCATGCAAGGCAAGCGCTCTACCACTGAGCCACCTTCCCAGCCCTAATTTTTTTAAATATTGAGTAAGGTCAGGAATCAGTGGCATGTCATTTTTTGTTTTGTTTTGTTTTGTTTTTTTGGGGTCCGGTCGTGGGGCCTGAACTCTGGGCCTGGGCGCTGTCCCTCAGCTCTTCAGCTCAAGGCTAGCATTCTACCACTTGAGCCACAGCACCACTTCCAGCTTTTTCTGCTTCTGTGGTGCTGAGGAATCGAACCCAGGGCCTCATGCATGCAAGGCAAGTGCTCTACCTCTGAGCCACCTTCCCAGCCCCTGGCACGTCATTTTTTATAATATAGAATTTTATATGCTCAAATTTAACAAAATGTTTTAGATATGCTATGATTAGCCTAATTTATATTTTATTTTTAACGTTTTTATTGTGTATTAAACATGTACTAGAATCTACACAGTAAACAAAGAAATCTTCTCATTTTACCTAATTTGTTAAAATGAAACATATCAATATTGTATACATATTAACAAGATCATAAATGTCTCTGGATTTTCAAGTTCTATAATTCTGTTTTGAACTTATTTGATTTTTTTTTTTTTTTGGGCTGGTCGTGGGGCCTAACTCTTCAGCTCAAGGCGCCACAGCACCACTTCCGGCTTTTTTCTTTTTGCTTATGTGGTACTGAGGAATCGAACCCAAGGCCTCATGCATGCAAGGCAAGTGCTCTACCACTGAGCCACCTTCCCAGCCTTGGTCTTTATCTTTTTAATTAAAATTAATTACTTAATTGTATATCTCCATACTAAAATTTGAAAATTGCAAAGACAGGTGATATTACATTTTTTCAGAAAACAGTGATAAGCATGTGAAGATCGTCATGTTGTATGCTTTATATATTTGTTAAATAAACAATAGGTACTTTTTCCCTACCATCAATTTTTTTTGCTGTGCTATCACTAAGAACTTAACTATATTTACTATTGTATTTTAATCTAATTATATTATCATCAAATTGGATTTCCCTAGTTTTTACTTAAATACTCCAAATATCACAAAACTTTTATTCAAAAGATAATTCTTTCCTTTTTATTTTTGGTGTTACTAAGGTTTGAACTTAGAGCCTCATATTTGCTAGGCAGGTACCCTATCACATAAACCATGTCTCCAAATCTTTAAAAAAATGTTTTTTCTATATAATATCACTTTTTTAATGAAAAAAATCCTACTTCCTTTTTTCATCCTTTTATTTTCTTTTTAAAATTTGACACAGAAGTAGAGTTGTGGCTCAAGTGATAGAAAATTAATCTTGAGCAAATGAAGCTCAGGAATAGCTCCCAAGCCTTGAGTTCAAGCACCAGGATAGACATAAAAAATTAGTAAATAAACTCACATTAAAATTTGACAATCTTTCTTTTCCATTTTTTGGCAGTACAAGGTTTGAACTCAGTGCCTTGAACTTACTTACTTGGCTAGTGTGCTACTGCTTGAGCCATACCCTCAGCACTACTTTTGGCTGATTATTTTGGAGATATCATCTTGTGGGATTTTCTGGCAGCCTAGCTTTGAACTAACTCTGCCTCTCAGACTTCTGAGTAGATAGGATTATGGGCATGAGCCTTGATACCCAGTTTATTCTGTTTCCATTGGATTTTAATGTTTGCTTCTATGAGACAAGGTCTTGCTTTTTATCACAGGTTGGCCTGTAAGCCAGTATCCTTCTGCAACTGCCTCCAAGTGGTGGGATTGTAGGCATGTACTGCCATATCCAGCTAAAACTAGAAATCTAAATTCTATTGAAATTTGACAAATTGTCTCTTAACTATATGTTCTTTAGGAAAGAGAAAAACAATGATTCACTTCAATTTGACTAAAAGAAAGGAATCAACAGAAGAAGACAATGATGAGTAAGTTTATTTTTAAAATCATACATATTTTTTTTTCTTGGTTAGAAATAATTTTTATTATCCTCTCCCCCCATGTACAGATGATTTCACAGAGACACGAAGATTTTATCCATGTCTTCATCAATTACAGTTGTAGAAAATAAGCTTAACTAATACCCTGTCAGCAATATATTTCTATCACTTTTTTAAACAATAAGCCATTTTATTTTTCTGTATTAGTTTTGAGTAGTTTTCTTTTTTTGATCAAACCAAGATCATTTTAGTTTATAGGTAATGGTTTCCTGACAGAGCCCCCCCCAACCCCTAAAAAAATTACTGTCCTAAGTGATAAACTCTTCTTGTACATTCAGCAAACTTTATATTGGAAAAAGCAAAAAAATCATGCATATTTTGCAGCAAAGTTTTCATATTTGTTAACATGACAATTTAACTATTTATAGAAACATTCTATAGCTCAGCTGAAGTATTCTTTCTTAAAGATGTGATGTACTTTATTTATAAAGTTCCTAGAAGAAGTTCCCATTGACACAATTATCAATTAATGACCTGATATCAATAATTTTCTGGAGTATCTCTTCTCAAAGTCAGATTTGTTCAGATAAATAGAACTACTAAAGACAATCAGTGATCTAAGAATTCGAAGTCAGAGAGTATGATGTTTTCAAGAATGTTTTCAATTAGCTGAGTTAACAGCAGGGTATCCCTTTTCTACATTCTCTATATTCCTGCCTAAGTAACTGTCCCTTCCATAAATGATAGCACTGTCACTTGCTGGGGAAATTAGATCTGGACCCTTGCCTCACACTATACACAAAAATCAATTCTAGACAGATTATAATGTGGAGAGTAAAAGTAAAAATTTAAGAGGAAAATGTAGGACAGCTTTTTAAGACCTTGAAGTAGGCAAAGTACCAACCACAAAAGAATTGATAAATTGGCCTATTTTAAAACTTCTTTTCATAAAAAGAAACTTAACTTTTTGAGAGGTCCCAAATAGAATAAGCCTAACGTATTTGACTTTCTAAACCCCTTCGTCTACCCCTTAGCACAGAATTATTTCTCTCATTTTTATTTCCATAGAACACAGTATATTGAGAAAAATTAGATTATGTAACCTGATACTATCAACAAACCACTTGTAAATCAGACAGTCTCCCTTCCTCTCTCCTTCAGTCCCTCCCTCTTCCTCTCTCCCTCCCTTTCTTCTTTCCTTCCTTCCTTCCTTCTTTCCTTCCTCTCTTCCTCTCTCTCCTTCTCTCTCTGACTCAAAAAGATGTTTGTACACCAGTATACACTTTAGCATACTTCACAATACCCAATAGGTGCAAACAACCCAAATGTTTCTCCACAGATGATTGGATAGGCAAAAAGTGATATATACGTGAAACTGAATATTATTTGTCATAAAAGGGAAATTAGTTTTGATACATGCTGCACATTGGATGAACCTTGAAAACAGGACTCAGTGAAACAAGCCAGATAGATAAGGCCAAGTATTCTAAGGTTGCAATTATATGTAGTATCTAGGAGAGGTGAATTTAAAGAGACAAAAAGTAGGTTATATATTTTTCAGATGCTAGTTGGGCTATGGCATAGGGAATCAAGCAATCTTAATGGTTAGAATTTCTGTTTTAGGTATAGATTGTGGTGGTGGTTGCACAACATTATCAATCTACTGGGTTATGTACTTACCATGTTTGAAATGACAAATTTTGTTATATCTTAACCACAAAAGTATTTTAAATTGAAAGATTAAAGGATACTCCAAAAACCTACCCAAGGAAGTCCATGAACATATAATAGACCTAAAAACAGTGGGGACATTTTTTGGACAAGGAGTGTTTTTACATTGTCTATGGATTTTTTTTTAAATGATCAGTCTTCTGATGTATAGGAAAGTTACCCAGGAATAGATATTTCTAGTCTAGAGAAATTGCTGATATTATAGCTCTTTCATGGATATAGCCTAGTAACTTGTATTTTCTATACTCTCAATAAGGATGCCATTCCTGCACTTTTGTAAATATTGTATAATGGTTTAAAAACATAGGTCAGACATACTTAAGTTCACATCTTGACTGTTACTAGTCCTGGATAATGAAATAATTTTTTTGTCTTCAGTTTCCATACCTGTAAAATAGAAATGATTTTTACCACAAAGTTGTTTTTAAAATTTAAAGATTGCAAAGTAACAAGTACAGTACCTTTAGTTGAGAAAAATGCTTTAAAATATTAGCAGCATATTATCATTATCATTTAGTTTTTTTATTTGAATATTCTGTGACTTTTTTTTTTGGTTAATCATGGGGCTGGAACTCAGGGCTTGGGCACTGTCCCTGAGCTCTTTTGCTCAAGGGTAGGTAGTGGTCTACCACTTTGAGCCACAGCACCATGTCCGGTTTTTGAGTCTCTGAGTTACACTGCCTCAGTCTCGGGTGAAGTGAGCAGTGGTGTGGAGCTATAGAGAAGTAACAAGCCAGCAATGTCTTCTTTCTCACTCAGTGGGGAATGAGAGAAGTGAGACTTCTGGAGATGCTTGGTCGTATATATTGTTTGCAAAGCAATGAAAAATGAAAGAGGAGCATTTGCATACTTTATCACCCTGAAAAATGTCAAGAAAGGAGTGGAAAATGGAATTAAAGTTTCTTAAAGTGGAATTAAAGCGCTGAAAGTGACTTGCCACATTTATAACATTTACTCTACTGAGTATTATTTTTTTCCTTCATTCCTAGATTCATGATGTTGCTATCTAAAGCTGAAAAATCATCAGAAGAAATCTTGAAGATAGTGCAAAATTTACGTAGTATACAGGTTTGCCTTTTTGTTTTTCATACTTCCTACCTCATTTGAAGAGTAATAGGAAATAAGTTCCAGATTAGAGATTCAATCCAAGAGTTCACAAGTGATATGTTTAGTTTACTTTTAATGAGAATGTTTTTGCTTATGTGAATATTACTGAACCATAATATATTAGATATATCTGGCTTTCACATTTGTAGATATGCTTAATCTTTTTAATTAATAATACTTTGGTTTTGCCTCTGGGCAATTCAGGGCCTTGTGCTTGCTAGGAAGGCACTCTACCATTTGATCCTGAGCCACAGCCACAACCCGTTTGATGTATGGTTTTTTGTTTGTTTTCCTTCCAGACAGGTCCTCATATTTTTCCTGGGGCTGGTATCAAACTCTGATCCTCCTAATGTATGATGAGTACTACCACATCTGTAATTGAGATTGTGGTCTCTCTGACGCTTAGCCGTGGCTGGTCTAGACTCATGATTCTCCCAATCACCTCTTGAATAGCTATGAGTAATAATAATGCATTGTTTTTAGTCAGGCATTAGAAAGCTTCCAATAACCAAATTATCGAAAAAGTTAAATTTCCTAACATAAAATTTTTTCTTGTCAGTAATGTTATAGAAAACTTACTTAATTCATTTAAGATGACTTTCTTTTAGGCTTTGGAGGGAAACAGAGAGCTTGAAAATCTCATTGGCACCTTCTATACACCATGTTTCTTAAGAAGAGAAATGAAGAAAACCAAAGAACTAAGTAAGAAAATTTAATGTTTTCAACATTAGTAAATTTAAATAAATTTCTTCATTTTTCTCAAGTTTAAATTTGATAATACCATTACTGGAATGTGAGAGAACTACTTTTCTCTTCTTTAAATAAGAAGCCATATATCTTTTATTAGGCTATGTAACTTGGAGAATACCTCTTTTTTTTTTTTTGGCTGGTCCTGGAACTTGAACTCAGGGCCTGGGCACTGTCCTTGTGCCTCTTTGTCCTCAAGGCTAGTGCTCTACCACTTGAGCCACAGCACCACTTCTGGCTTTTTTTTCTGTTTAAGTGGTACTGAGGAATTGAACCCAAGGCTTTGTGCATGCTAGGCAAGCACTCTACCACTAAGCCACATTCCTAGCCAGTGAATACCTCTTTAATGGTAAGGAAAAGATTATACCTTGGAAACTTCTAATAGGCTTCTCTTATGTAGAGATCATTTTTAAAATATGCAATTGCATATTATTACTTATGTAATATATATTATATGGCATTTGTACTTTATATTTGATAGCTATGGCATGTATTACCCTTTAAATTATGTCTTCTTATGAAGTTGTCCTACATAATGGAAAATTATTCCATATGAATTCATTGTATTTTCCTATGTAGCCCAAGCTGGCCTCAAATTTGCCATCCTCCTACCTCGGCTTCCCAAGAGCTGGGATTATAGGTATGTACCACCATGTATAACTTTTCCATATTAATTCTTAACATAGGATTTCTTTTTTCTTTTAGTGACAAGAGTAACAAAACAGAAATTGTTTGAGAAGAGTTCAGTACTTCCTCACAAAGGTAGAGTTATGTTTTACTTTACATAAAGAGATGCTTTCATCCCATCTGACCAAATAAGACCAATCATCATGAGTGTATGTATCTCATGTATGTAATCTCATTTGCATTTAACAGAAGACCATGTCTAATGAAGTCAACTTCCCTGATGATTGGTTTAAATATCTTTTGAAATACAATTTTAAATTTTGTCTATTTCTTTCTTCAGAGAAGTATGACTAACAATGTATTAATATACTATAATTTTAGTGGAATGAATATACAAAGCATTTAAAATTATTGTAACCAGTACCCTGGAAATAATGACCTTGGATACTTGATCTGTTTGTGAACTCATACCTCTGACATTTTACACTATGAGAAACTACACCAGCAGTTTTTAAGTTTCTATAGGAAAAATACATCTGTAACTCCTAAGTGGAAGAAAGCTTAGTTCTATATATTCTATGCCAATAGTATAAAATCAAAATCTATAGTGTCCGAGAGCTAATTAGTACTAGGTCCTATGTGGCTGGCATTTACCAGAATTTGAAAATATAGGAAGAGAAAAATTCTCAAAGAAATAAATATAAAGAAATTGTACCAAAAGTATTAATATGTCCTTCTTTTCCTCCAGGGGATACATTTGTTATCTCCTTCCTATTATCTATTTTATTTCAGTTCTTTGTGTTTATGCAAGATCAGTCTTAGAGTTGATTTCTTTTATTTCATGCAGAATGACTTATCCATTATGAAGTCTTCCCATACAACCCAGTTTTGCATATTCATAGAGGAAAGTTTATCACTATTCATGTTTTACATTTCTAATACATTGGTTATTTGTCTTATAAGCTTAAAAATACAATACCTTTATATAAGTATCTTTACATATTGTATATTGATATGCCTAAGCTGGATACTAGTGGCTAACACCCTTAATTGAAGCTACTCTGGAGGCTAAGATCTAAGGATCAGAGTTTGAAGCAAGCCCAAGGAGATAAATCCTTGAAATTCTAATTTATGTCCAACCAGGAAAAAGCCAAAACTAGAGCTGTAGCTCAAGTGGCTCTCTAGCCATCTGTGAGTAAGAAAGTAGAGTCTGAGTCTGAGGCCTCTGGAGTTCTAGTACTAGCACACACGTGTGCACACAAATACACAAACACACACACCACACATACACACAAACATTAATGCTTATTTTCTTTATAATTTGTGTTTGAGCTATGTAGTTTTACTGAGTGCTTTTCCACCTCTTTCTCTGGTTCCTACTGTGTATATTTTTAATGAGGGGATTTTTTTGTTGTTAAAGATGATGTAAACACAACAGCACATAACACAAATTTTTTACTAAGCTAAAAACCTTAACCTGTATCTGTTTATACATTCATTTAAAGAAGACTTTGACAGTCAAACTAATTTACTTTGTATGTTTCTTATTTGAAATTAGGCTTTTGGCTTTTAATAGAAATTTCTCCATTACCTTTTTTGTACTACACTATTATCCAGAATTGTTTTAATTTTAAAATTTCAAATGGGCTTGCACCTGTAATCCTAGCTTCTCAGGAGGCTAAGAACTGAGCATCATAGTTCCAAGCCAGTCCAGGCAGGAAGTCTGTAAGACTCCTCTTTCCAAAAAAGAAAAGTGTGGCTCAAGTAGTAGAGCACTAGTCTTAAATGAAAAAGCTAAGGGACAGTGTTCAGGCCCTGAGTTCAAGTCCCAGTACTGGAACAAAAAAAAAGTATAAATTTTAGAATGTTTTATGAATCTTTATAACATTGAAAAGTATATAAAATAAAAAATGAATCCAATACTATATACTACAATTGTTTCATAGGAATTTATGAAAATAGGCCAGTTACTTGTCTCTTTTGAGTACGCTTCCTGCTCTTCTTAGTTTTTTTCTTTCAAATTCCCTTAGATTCTCGTACATTTTTCCTGGATTAAAATAGACATTTGGAGGGAAATTTTACTATTTGTGCCATCAGCACTCCTTCAACTTTTTTTTAGCATTTTCATTTCAGTGCTAGTTCCCTTTACTTAGTATCACTTACAGCCCTGATTACACAAGAGTATAATTGTAAAATCAATACTCAGGTCCTGGGGACCATCCCTGAGATTTTTTTTTTCTCTACCACTTAAGTCACAGCTTCACTTCCTGCTTTTTTGGTGGTTAATTGAAAATAAGAGCCTCATAGACTTTTTCCGCTGGGTCTAGCTTTCACTCTCAATCCTCTGATCTTAGCCTCCTGAGTAGCTAGGATTACAGGAGTGGGCCATCAGTGCCTGGCTAATGCAAGTGTTTTAGTAGACATCTGGTACACTTTTTTTAAGGCTTCATGTAACTTATTCTACAAACATTCTTTTTTTTTTTTTTTGGTCAGTCATCGGGCTTGAACTCTAGGCCTAGGCACTGTCCCTCAGCTCTTCAGTTCAAGGCTAAGCTAGAGCTCTACCACTTAAGCCACAGCTCAACTTCCGATTTTCTGGTGGTTAATTGGAAATAAGAGTCTCATGGACTTTCCTGCCCAGACTGCTTTGAACTGTGATCCTCAGATCTCAGCTTTCTGAGTAGCTAGGATTACAAGAGTGAGCCACCAGCACCCGGCTCTACAGACATTCTTTGCGTGCATAACAAGAGAAGCTGCACTAAAAGTATCAGAGGTTTGAGAAGGACTGAACCTTAGAAATCAAGGTTCCTTGATATAGTAACAGAGGATCTTCTCTGCTAAGTACAAGTTTCTTAAACAAAGAAGGCTTCTTACTGAAGTAAGCCTAACTTCAGTTTCCTTAATAATATTGGCTTTATGACTATTAGGAAAAGAATCAAATGAAAAGTTCTTTTTCTGCTAGATATGGATGTGAATTTTCATAATTATTTTAAATTTGTTATGCCTACAATTTTAAATAGACAACCATTCAGTGGGCTGACACAGATGGAATATCACATTATCATCACATGGCAAGGCATGAAATTTATTTGCTTTATATAACTAACCTCTACTTAAAACAACCTGATATAGCTATTCCTTAGTCAATAAGTGGCATTTTGTAATATTTGGTACTATCATTTTTTTTGGGATTCTGAAAAATGCCACCATTGTTTGTCTATGACTAGTGCTTCCAGTAAACAAAATGTTTTTGAAAAGAATGTAAGCAAAATGCAGAGTGGTTGCCAAGATATAATGTAGACACTAAGCTTCAGTCCAAAACATAGTTTATCTGTTTTGAAAATAATTGTGTAGGTTGCAGTATGCATATTTGAATGAAATACAGCCATCTGAACTTTATATTGTTCAAAGAGGTTGATTGTTTCAGCTGTTTATAATAGAAAATGCTTCAGAATTTCTAGCTCGTATTAAAAGAAAAACATGTCCTTTAGTTAGCTTCCATTATAAAATTTACATGATAAAATTCATTTAGGTTACAGGATTTTAAGTTTATCATAAACGTACAGAACAAATCTTCAACCTCTTCTGTTTAAGACTATAAATGGATTACACTGCCTTTTCATTCTAACCACAAACTGAAGTATTTTTTAAACATAAAAATGTTGTCCTTTCCCCCACTCAGTCTTGAAAAAGTATTCATCACATCAACTAAATAATTTTACTCTCAGAGGACTACTAGCCTTTCCCTCCCTACATATCATAGCATTAAACAATATCTTTTTTCAAGCAGATACTTCTGTTTTACAAGCACCAAGGTTTGAAGTTCAGACACGATAAGGTTTAAAATTTCCCCCTTCAAAAAAAAAAATCCCTCTTAGCTTATAGGCGGATAATTAATTTCAGTAGCACAAATATACATTAGTGTACATTAGTCCTCAGCTCTTACAAGGAATCAGTTCTCATTTAAGTCATCCATGGGTCATACCTGACCTATTAATAAGGTTAACGCACCATCCATCATTGTTTGGGGAATACATTTCAACAGCTAAAAATGCTTCTTGGGATTTGTCTAGGACTTAAGGAAAAAGGTTTATTACTTTTCACAGCTTTTTTAGTAATTTTCTTCCATGATTTAAATTTTTTATACTTTTATGAGAAGTATGATATTTTTTAAGTAAAATCAGTAAAATAATGTTGAAACTATGTATCTGAACCCACTTAGTGGCAATTAGGTGTTTAAGAGGTGTAAATAACTTGCTAGCAGCAGACATTACAAATATCCAGGTGCTCTGTATGTGCTGATGACAACAAAATTGAAAAGAAAGACTGTAATAATTCTGACTGGTTTTCTCTGCAGAAGATATTGATTATTTGTGTGTGGTGAGAGATTTGGAAAATTCAATTAAAGGAGTTGTGCAAAGGTTTCATAAATTTTCCTTCTACAGCGTGTACACAGACATTGTTGCGTATTAAATCAATGCAGCACTTCACAATATATTTTCTTTGAAACATAAAAATAAATAACATTTAAACAGTTCTGCTTACTACAGAAACAAATTTTATTTTCTGTGAAGCATTTAGTCATGTGCTATCACTGACTCATACACATTTGCCAGCTGTAACAAATTTTATAGACATTTTCCCCTGAGACATAGCTCACATACTATGAATTTTTAAATGAGCAAATGGTGAAGAAGGGATGTCAGCAATATAAAAATTGATCAGTTAAAAGATAAAAGCATAAGTAAAGAGATTTGTATGGTAGTCCTAATAGGTTTTATTAAATAAAAATACTATAAAAAGACTGTAATGAATAGACTGAATGAATGAACTGTTCTTGAGGTAGAGAAATTATTCTGGCACATTTATAGAAATTGGTTTTCTGTCACCTGACAGTCGAGCATTTTTTTCCTTTTTTTAACTCTTAGGCGAGTTAAAAAAAAAAGCCCTCCCCCCAAGTCAAATAAATTATTTTAAGTGGCTTACATATTTTAAATACATATGTAGCAAGGCAGATATTAGTAGTATTAATATAGCTAGTTAGATTGCTATGAACCTGATTTGTATAATAAGTAAATAGCAGGTGATTAACCCTCTCTCAAACCTCAGAAAAGAGGGTGTTGGTCATTTTATTCATACTTCACATCATACACTTCAGCCCTGTAAAGTCTCTGTTAGACTAGATTTCCCTACTGGTCCTCTCTCTACTAGATTGTTCTTCCTTCTTCTCTAGCAAATTCCTGCCTCTCCTGCAACAGTCTCAGATGTCCCATCCTTTGAGGAACTCTTCCCAAACTCTGCTATGTAACAGAAAAACTGCTCCATCTTCTAGACTCCTCCACTTTCTGAATATTTATAAATATATCATGATGTAATAAAATATAAAGCTCTATTTCCTTCTGGACTCCTATGGAGACTAGTCTGTACAGAACCGTCAGAAGGTCCTCGATGCAGGACAGTGAATGTGTGAATGAATGTCTTTTCTAAGTATTTTTAAAAGAATTACCTGGATATTTTCAAATACTTATAAATTGCTCTCTTTACCCACTTCATTAATTTATTGTTTATTTATTTCCTATTACAAACTAAGCACTGTTCTAGCCTTGGGGATGTGGTGGCAAACAGGACAGCCCTGCCCTCAGGAGTTTTGAACCCAGTATAAATTACAAGTAATCACAATAAAGCACAGAGTATAATGACAGTGGTATTACACAGTGGAGTTACTCTGTTAGTATACTCCTCACATTCCTTGGTAAAACAGTATAAGTAAGCATACATTATAATAAATGTTTTTGGCTGTTTTCTATACTTTAAAAATACATTCTAAAATAAAACTAGCTAGAAGTCTATCAACTTCTGTTTACCATGTAAAATAAGTTTATTTTAATTTGATCTAGAGTCAGTATAGTGCATCATATAGTGTGATAAGTTACTTTGAACTGTTTTCTGAAAAAAAATCTTTTTTCACACAGAATTATGCCATCTTGACAGTTATGAATTCCTTAGAGCCATTTTAAACTAAGGTACTGTTTTCCATTTTCTAATTTAGTTTAACCTTTTTAAGTATCACTGTATTTTGTTCAGGTAGAAACTGTTTATTTAAATTATCAGATTTGGTATGTCTTTGTCTAAGAAAATAGGTATATGTGCTTTGGAGCTTTGTTGAAATTATGTTCAATCCATTCTTGTAAACAATGGGGAAGATTAAGATTCATTAGTAAAAGGGCCTGAAATTAAGAGTCTTTAGTTTAAAAAAAAAAGTAGCTAAAGAGTAAGTCTATAAAATTTGGAAATGTGCAAATTAAGTAAATAATATATATTAGTTATACTTTTTCCTCAAAATAATTTCTTGTAACCAGAACAAATCATGTTAAGTGAAGAAAGCCAAATTCAGAGCAACAAAATGGCACATGCTCTAATTTGCAGAAATTAGATCTGAAATATACTGGGATATAATAAATTATACAGGATTCTAGATATTCACATATAGTGAAATCAAGAGTATACTCTTGGGAGAGAAACACGAAGATGTAATGCCTAAGTGCCTCTTCATATTCACATAAAATAATGCACATATCAAAATGAACCTCAAGATATTGAAACAAGGATCTTTTTTGTAATTTTTTAATTTTTAGTTTTTCATAATTCTGTCTTCTGTACCTTATGTATGATGTAGTCAAGTGTATATATTCAGCAGGGTTGGGGGGAGGGTAGAGAATTCAAGGGCAAAAATGTGAAAAAGTGCAGCAGTGGAGCTCACTAAACACAGATGAAAGTGACTTATACAACTCATGGGTGGAGATGGGAGGGAGGGACTGGGAGAGAGTGAGGAAACAGAAGACACTTGTACAAAAGGAAATGTACTCATTACCTGATTCATGTAATTGTAATGCCTTGTACATGACCACTATAATAAAGTAAATTAGTAATTAAAAAAAAAAAAGTTCCACGGGACTGGTGGCTCATGCCTGTAATCCTAGCTACTCAGGAGGCTGAGATCTGAGGCCAGCCCAGGCATGAAAGTCCATGAGACTCTTATCTCCAATTAAGCACAGAAAAAGCCAGAAGTAGCACTATGGCTCAAATAGTAGGGCTAGCCTCGAGCAAAAGGGAGCCGAGGGACCGCACTGAAACCCGAGAACTGGCAAAAAATAAAAATCCCTTGTGTTCAGCAATACAAAAAGATACCTTTCTAATAGCTTATTATAGCATGTACTGTAATCAGTCAGTACATCATGATGTGATGTGTTTGGTGTATCTGTAACTCAGGTTCACACTGGGAAATGACACTGTCCTAGACTTCCTAGCATCAAAATTAAAAGATTCTTATAAGACAACTAGATATTGTCAACTATCTCCTAGAAGAAGAAAAAATAAAGCAAAATTAAAGAATTATGTTCAATTAAGAAAATTCCGGGGCTGGGAAGGTGGCTCAGTGGTAGAGCGCTTGCCTTGCATGCATGAGGTCCTGGGTTCAATTCCTCAGCACCATGTAAGCAGAAAAAAAAAGAAAAAGAAAGAAAGGAAATTCCTTTGGAAATAGTGTCAGAAGTGGTTTCTTTTAGCTTAAAAAATTAGCTGTTCTTAAAATACTTGAAAGGCATCTTATAATATTGTATACATTCATTCATTGAAATATCCATTCTATTTATACAATAAATAATAATAGCTAAGACCTGTAGAGCATATTTTATGTGGCACTATTATAAGTGCTATCTACACATCCATTTATTCTTCAGAACAACATAAGGTAGTTACAGTTATTACTTTTACTTGCTGGTGAGGAAACAGAAGTAGAGCCCACAGTGATCTTGAATTCTATGTGATTTTCCAAACCTGAGAAGCTCAGTCTTGAAGCAGACCCTAAGTCAACAGGCTTCTAAATTTGTGAAGATCTCAGATCTGCCTTACCTGCATGGTTGCAGGTCAGCATGAGAATGAGCTTAGGAAGTACAAAGGCCCATTGGACTTTTGATAGGGAAACTGTAAAGTGGGGAAGAACGGTCTGCAAAATTAATAACGCATGGCATTAGTAAAATGTGGAATGAGTGTTTCGGACATACTTTCACTGGGTGTAAGAGAGACAGGGCAGTAACAAAAATTCCCTCTTCTTTGGGACAGAGGAGTGTAAACATTTCTCTACCATGAATACCCAATAAAGAATAAGCCTTTCTACAGAACTCACAACAGGCACAGATCACCTTTGGGTGAGGTAGCTCAGTAACTTGTTAAAGGTTCATGATTTTAAAACTAATTTTATCTGAATGTGGTCAGTACTTGGGAGGCTGAGGCATGGTCTCAAGTTCAAGGCCAGCTTGCGCTACATACCAAAATCCTACTTCAAAAGATAATTATAATAATGCTAACAGTCCTAGTTATTCCACTCTACCTTATCTTTGAACGCTATCAAGATCCTCATGTTGAAAAGTTGTACTTTACTAGACATTTGGAGTTTGAAAAATGGGGTCATTTTCTATTTTGTTTGGTTTTGAGACAGTCTCTTTATGAGCCCTGGCTTACCTCTATCCTCCTGCTTCAGTTTCCCAAATGCTAGAATTATAGTATGTTACCATGTATTGCCCCAAAAAGCAGTACTTTTAATGAGGTTTGTAAACAAAGTAGGCAGAGAGAATATGAACAAAAAGTACAGGAAAGCAGAATGATAGACAGTGAGATAGAGGCCATATCACTGACAATTACAATTAACTAGGCTAATATATTTATCTTTAATTTATTAAGCAGAAGTGGGCCAGGAGAGATGACTTATATAAGTAACAACATGAAATGTTTCTGAAAGAATAATGTAATTGCTATGAGGGATGAACACTGCTACTGTGTGCTACAGCATGTATCACATTGATCCAAGTATTTCTTTTTGCTGGATGTTACATTTGTCTTAGACTCTTTTTCAACACAGTTATCTCAGCAGTCATAATCAGTTGATAAAAACTTTGCAGGGTCTGACATTACAAAAAAAGTAAGATTTGGATTAGATATTCAACACCAGCTCTACCTGCTTTAGTTACATGGCCTTAAACTAGATAATAGTTTCCCCTAAGGCTTGATTATAAACAAGACCAGACAACTTCTTTTCCTTTATTGTAATATCATCTACTATGACAAGTGTATGAATAACCTTTGAGGAAATTAGTGAAAAGCACATAGTCTATAGGAATACAGACTAGACTGAAACATAAAGTTGGAGAAAGTAGGTTGCTGACAACCAACCTTAAGACAAGAGGGAATACATGTGAAGGCCTGTTAAGAATAGTGTGGTATAAGGACCCACTTCCTTATAACTGTTATAAGGAAGGAAGGAGTGAAAGGCCCACATACCCTATGGGACACATATGCCTTCAACTGCCACCAGCTGCCTCCTTCCAAGGCTTCACTTTCACACAAAGTTCCTAATGTCAAAATAAGACAAGAACCTCTACTACCACTAGGAGTCCCCAGAGGGACACAATGTGGAAAAGAATCTGTCATAGTAAAGTCTTTTAGGGGGCAGCTGTTGGAGGAAACACCTGCTTGAAAGACCCTTAAAGCTTTCAGACAAAGGCATGTAAATGTGGTGTTTTCAGTAGGTCATGTCAGAGTATTAAAATTCTCTCAAAAGTATCTCATGTATTTTCACTTGATATGAACAGCCAGTGCTGTCAAAGTAATCATTCAATTGCTTATAAAGTGAATCCGACTTAAAACTCAAAACTATGCAAATGAGGATAGGAGCCAAAGCTCAAGTAATATAGCACCTGTCTAGCAAGCCCAGGGCCTTAAGTTCAAACAGTACCAAAAAAAGCAAATGAGAGGTATCTAATTAAAAAGGTAACAGGATAATGGGTGATCAGTGATTAAATCATTTTATATATAATGTATGAAAGACATTAAATTGAGAACTGATTTGTGATGTAATAATCATCTTTCATATTTTACAGGCACCTAGAAGAAATGTACTTTCTATGAGCAAAACTTCTGCATCTGCTTGATCATATTTAAAGGAACAGAAAAAATGTTTGTAATTAATCTGTCCAGTAAATACCAGCTCGTAGCACTAGGCAGGTGCAAGACTAGATAAAATTTCTTGCAGCTAATTTAAACTTTCTACACACACCAGTAGATAATCTCAATGTAAATAATACATTTCTTCTTGACCCTTTAATGTAACAAGCTAACACATATACGAGGACCTTCTATTCTGTGTCACATTTCTAGATATTTGAAGTACTTGTGGATAGAATTACTAAAACATGTATGACAGTGCCTCTTTGAACAGTGTTCTTTCTAGAACACTGAATAAAATTTAATGTAAGTGAAATTAGGTACCATTTTTCCATTTAAAAGTACTTGTTCCTTATTAATTTACAGATTCTTTTTTTAAAAAAATGTATTGCAAAATACAAGACTATAGCCTCTAGCTTAGGGATGTATCTTTATTATATATATGCTAGTCTTTTTTCTATGCTCGTAGAAAAAAACATTTTGAAAGTTTAAAAAATTTTTACACCTCATATGGAATATGACAATGCATTTTCCAGCACAGACATTTAAATGTGAAATTATTTTTTAACTAAACTATCAACTCCCGTCAATTTTAAAGAAAAGACCTTGGGATAACGTACAACCCCTTCCAATTTATTTTGAAGCATTAAGATTTCTTTTACTCTGGGTGCAGTTTGTGTTACCATCTATTTGTGCTACTACTCACAAAGTAGAGGAGAAGAAGGAATCAGAGTGTCCTGCCCTGTAAGTTTTTAAAACCATTACAGGGGCATATGCAGGGAAGATGCTTTCCTGTGGTGCTTGCCTTAGTGTTTGACAAAAATCAGTCTAAGATGTCTTTTAGTTCAGTGGATCATGAAAATAAAACACTATGAAAATCTGAAACAAAATTAACAAATTAAGGTTAAAATAACTCATTTTCCACTTAATATTAAGAATACTCTATGGTACAATTCTTCTTATCAAATGTTACCAAAAACTAACTTTAGGCTGTAAGCCAAAACATTTCATAAAGTAACCCATATTAGTTAGGAAACAAAGGGTTAAGTTGTAGATTGCTTTCATATGTAATCCAAGTTATTCAGGCATGTGCTTAATGCTATTAAACCAGTTACTGTGTGTTTGACCTCTTGATATACTAAGCTTTTGCCTTTCACAACAGCTGGGTCTGCTAAGAATCATTTCCCAGTTCTCTTCATTGTAGATCAGATGACTCTCGCTTTATCACCCTTGGAGGCCGCATGAAGGACAAAGCAGAAAGATACACACACAAAACTAATGTTTATGTGGGGGGAAGGGAATGGGAGACATACTTGGCCCTGATCTTCCAATGAACATAACAGAAGAGAGACCAATTGAGACTTGAAACCACTGTGTTATTCTAACCATTATTTAGTTATAATCTATCCACCTCCTGTTCCCTTCCTATTGAACAGTCTCCTTTGGCTGCTCTGACTTTTGTAAATATTTCATTCACTTAGTTATGGTTTATCATTTGGACAGAATGCTACATCGGGGATTCTTCTCCCCTCCTTAAGACCTCAAGGAAAAATGATTTCTATATACTTCGTATATGATATATGAACATACACTCTATTCTCTTCATTGCTTTAAGAAGCAACCCAAGTGTATCAACAATGGAGAAATCTTCATTTCTCAGAAGTGTTTCTGCCCTCTAAAATGTACTTCAAAGTAACATTAGGAGGGTTCATTTTTTTTGGCAGGTATGTTAGACAAGGAAGTAAGATATTTTTCTATCTTTTGCATAACCTAGCTGTTTATTAAAGCATCCATCCTTATGATTTTGAATTTAGCTATGAGAAATGCTCTGTAATTGGCTACTCCCGTGGTCCTAATATATCACTGGGTATTTCTGCTATTTTGGAACCTAGCTGCACCAAGTTCAAAGTACATTCTTAAACTGGTTTCTAATAAATATAATCAGTATTTATACTATTACAAGTTTCCTTAAGGATTACAGTGTAATTCAGTATTAGAGTGAATCCATCTGAAAAATGGATTCTTACAGAATTTACTTATACCTTGGATGTTCGTAATTACTTTTAAAGTTTCTCTAATTACCTAGAAATTGGTAACTTAGAACTTCACCTTCACTAATTTAAATTAATATTGTATTAAATTCCAGTATACTACAAAATTTAAAATAGTATGAATGAGGTTTTCCCAGCCAGCCAAGATACTGACATTTGGGCACAGTGATTACAAATGGCGACCATGGACAGCGCTGCTGATTCGGCAGTGGCTCAAGGCTGCTGTGCTATGCTGTGCTGTGCTGTTCTGTCCTATGCTGTGCTGACCTGCATGAGTCTTTATGCACATTTGCTTTGAGAAAGAAATACTTCTCGATTGTTTTCTTCATCTAAACTCGCTTTTCTTTATCTCAGTGAGAAATAGGTAACTTCTTAAATCAGCCTTTAGCTAACCATGTCCAAAATGTACGTGTATGTGTGTATGTTTGGAATTGCACCATTTTACATTGTAACACCATTTAGTATACTTTAGTGGCTACTTTATAGAAGATATATATTCATTACATAATAGTTAATGATGAAAATGACATTATTGTATCAGACTAAGAATGTTGTAATATGAGAAACTAAAAAATAGATGTTCTACATGAAGACTGAAATAAAGACTTGTTTTTGCTAATAAAAAGTGATACTGTATTAGCAGAACAAGAGTAACCTGAAACAATTTGAATCACTATCTATGACACTGGTAATACTGATCATAACAAAAAGGATGAAATCTTTTTTTTCTGGTAAGTCATGGGGCTTGGACTTGGGGCCTGAATGGGGCCCTAAAGCTCTTTTGCTCAGGGCTAGCCCTGTACCATTTTGAGCCACTGTGCCACTTACGTTTTCTGGTGATTAGTTGGAGACAATGCTTGATAGGAAATGTACTCATTACCTTACTCATGTAACTGTAACCCCCTCTGTACACTATTTTTACAGGGAAAAAGAAAAAAAAAAAAAAAAGTCTTACGGACTTTCCTGCCCAGGCTGGCTTCAAACCAAGATCCTCAGATCTCAGCGTTATGAGTAGCTAGGATCATAGGTATGAGCCTCCAATGCCCAGTGGATGAAATATTTATACACCAGTTTAAACAGTTTGATTCTAGAAGGATAGAACTAGTAATTATAATTAATAAAGAACTTTAGCGGGTTCTTGCTGGTTTACACCTGTAATACAATTCAGGAAGCTGAGCTCTGAGGATTGTGGTTCCAAAAAAAATTATTTAGACCACTTAATTTAAATTCAGAAAAAATGATTTATGGATGCAGATATATCTATATTCTTAGAAAAAAAACAAGAATCCATTTAATCTACTTTGCTTTGTTTAAACATTCATGTTTACATATCTAATCAATGAGAGTCAAATTTCAAGCTGCTTAATTTACCTTCTCAGTAATTACAAAGATTATCCCAAATTTGCCAGGCAATGGCAGACTGACACCTGTAATCTTAGTCACTCTGAAGATCACAGTTTAAAGCCAGTCCAGGCAGGAAAGACTGTAAGACTCTTAAGTCCAATTAAGCACCAAAGAAACAGAAGTGGTTCAAGAAGTAAGAGCAAGAAAACTCAAGGATAGTGCCCAGGCCTTGAATTCAAGCCCCAAGGCTGACACAAAAAACAAATAGACCAAATTTATTTTCCTGAAATACTTACTGCACAATAAAGTATACATTACTTATATATTAAATGTAAAGGAAACTTGAACACTAAAATTTGTGATTTTCTTTAAAAAGAGCATTGTAATTGCAAATTTTAAGATAAACTTTATAGCATTCATTTCCCAAGAAAATACTGGGAATAAGAACATTATTCTCATATTTTACCACTTAAATACTGTGAATACTGGGCGCTGAAGGTTCACACTTGTAATCCTAGCTACTCAGATGGCTGGGATCTGAGGCTCGCAATTCAAAGCCAGCCCAGTCAGGAAAGTCAGTGAGACTCTTATCTCCAATAAACCACCAACAAACTGGAAGTGGTGCCGTGGCTCAAGTGGCAGAACGTTCGCCTTAAGCTGAAGAGCTGAGGGACAGTGTCCAGACACAGAGTGCAAGCCCCACAACTGACAAAAAAAAAAAGCTGTGACTATTAAAGTACAATATGCGTTGGCCAAGTAATACTTAAAAACCTCCATTGATCTTTGGTCCCATTATGCATTTATTTTGTGCACACACAAAAAAAGCTTTTCACCCTTTTCTGTGATTCCATGATTCTCAAAATGATCATTTCATTTATATATATAACAAAAAGTTCACATTTGTTTGGGAATAAAGGTTAGTTGATTTTCTTCTGACTTCTTCCATGTTTAGAATCCCACATGATTATAATGTTAAAGTATAACAAGAAAAACAGGAAGTTCATGCAGGATATAAAACACACCAATACAGAAAATAAATCTGGCAGTTTCTGAGGAGGATCCAGTGAGACGGCCATCAACGTCAGAAGGAGCATGGTGATTACTGAAGTAAGAAACTAGGAGAGAAAAAAAATATTCAGTATAGAAGGCAAAACGAATGTACTGCTAACATTGGTTTGTAGTTAGTGTATATTTAAGGAGAATTGAGAGTCTAGTCTCTTCAGCAGATGGATCTCAACTCGGGCTTCATGTTAGAATCATCAAAGAATTAAAAATACCTCCATGATGGAAGTAGAGATGTGGCTCAAATGGAAAAAATACCACTCCTGAGTGGAAAAGCCAAGGTAGATCTTTGTACTTGTTAGGGGCAAAGCTTTCCAAGTAGTTTCCCTGTGTTAACAGATAGGTGGGAGAACCTAATACCTCAAACTACCAAGGTATTAAAAGGAAGTATTTGGGACACTGAGTAAACTTGGGCTATATAGCTACACCCTATCTCAAAAATAAAAAGGCTATGGTGGCTCCAGCCCATAATCCTAGCTACTTGGGAGGCAGAGATAAGGATCATAAATATTCTTACAGTAGTGTAGTAGTGCTTTAACACTCCCTGGCTTTTCATTGTCTAATATATTGATATATTCCATAGTATGTGGTAACTCAAAACAACCATCTCTTGGATAACCAAGAGGTACTAATGTTTTTCTTGTTCCAAATAAAGACAAAAGACAACAACTACGGTAAAAGCCAGGGCATCTAGTCCATTCCAGTGGCTCATGCCTATAATCCCAGCTACTCAGGAGGCTGAGACCTGGAAGATCATATTTGAAGTCAGCCAAGGCAGAAAAGTCAGAAAGATCGCATCTCCAGTTAAACAATGTCAATTCTGGAAGCATGCCTCAAGTGGAAGAGTTCCAGTCAAGCAAGCAAGCTGAGCCAGAGCACAAGATCCTAATTTCAATCTCTATAATAGAAAAGAAAAAAAGCCAGGACATCTTTTCATAATTGGAGATTCAGCTAGCTTCTTTTGGGTCTCTTCTTAAGTTTCATCCTCATGAATGGTGAATGCAGGCTGTTAACTGTTTTTCAAGGGAAATCAGTAGTGATATGCTCATGATTTATTGGAATATCCAATAAAAGATAATTTGTCACATCTTTAAACTCTGCTGCAGCACAGTGATGGGCCCTCAATATGTGCCAGTAAGCTTGGATTTGAGGCTGCTAGCAGGAAGAATCTGCCCCAATCTTAAGAGAGAAAATCTCACCTACTTAACAAAGGCATATAGAACTTAAAGTAGACAGGATCCAAGAAATACTTCTAGAAAACACTGGACTTAAGAAACAAGGAATCAATTTTAAATGCAGCAAAACCAATTGAGGAGCTATATTACAACAGAAAGAAGATCAGAATCACTACAGATTTCCCCACACAAACTCTCAATGCAAGGAGAGCTTGGAATGGTATACTTCAAATCCTGAAGATCAACAACTGCCAATCCAAACTGATGAGCCTAGCAAAACTATCATTTACAATTTAATTATTTTGTCATCCTAGACAAAATTAAAGGAATTCATGAACACTAAACCAGAACTGCAAAACATACTAAAGGGAAGCATACATCACTTAATACAATTTTTCCAAGTCTTTCCATTTCCTAACAAATGGGGCAGTGTCATTCTTTCTGATAGGGCATAGGTCATAGGGGAACTCTATGTGTAGTCTTTTGAGGAACCTCCATACTGCTTTCCAAAGTGGTTTGACAAGTTTACACTCCCAACGACAATGCAGTAGGATTCTAAAGGGAAGCATACAATCTGAAGAAAAGAAAGTCAAGGAAACACATCAGATAAAAATTACTAGATGGGCTGGAAAGGTGGCTCAGTGGTAGAGCGATTGCCTTGCATGCCTGAGGCCCTGGGTTCGATTCCTCAGCACCACATAAGCAAAAAGAAAAAAGCCGGAAGTGGCGCTGTGGCTCAAGTGGTAGAGCGCTCGCCTTGAGCTGAAGAGCTGAGGGACAGCACCCAAGCCCAGAATTCAGGCCCCACGACTAGACCAAAAAAAAAAAAAAAATTACTAGAGGACTAGTAAGCAGTTAGAGTAAAGAAGCAAAATACAGGAAATCAAGATAATGGCAGGAAACATGACACACCTCCCCATAATAACCTTAAACATTAACGGACTTAATAATAAATTGCTTTCATGCAAATGCATTCTGCAGGAAGGCAAGAATGGCCACATTGGTATCTGATAGAATAGACTTCCTTAAAATCACTATGAAGAGACAAGGAATGTTATTACATATTAACAAAGGGAATGATCCAAGAAGAGGAAATCACAGTAGCAAGTATTTATGTACCCAAACAATGGAGTACCTAAATACATTAAATATTTTTGAACTTAACATGATAGACCCCCAGCACAATAATAGTGGGAGATTTTAATATTCCGCTCTCACCAAAGGACTGTCAACCAAACACCAATACTCCTCTAGCTTTTCCATGAAATAGAAACAGAAGGAACAAATGAAACCAGTATCATACTCACCATAAAATTGGGTAAGGATCCAACAAAAAATGAGAACTATAGACCCATTTCTCTAATGAACACAAATGCAAAACTCTTCAATAAAATACTAACCAACAGAATCCAGAAACAAAAAAAATCATAAATTATGACTAAGTAGGCTTCATCCCACAGATGCAAGGCTGGTTTAACATATACAAATCAGTAAATGTAATTCATGTCAGCAGAGCCAAAGATAAGAACCACATGATCATCTCAACAGATGCAGAAAAAGCCTTCAACAAAATACAACATCCATGTTCAAAGCTCTGGAGAAGCTAGGAATATAAGGAACATTCCTTAAAATAATACGGACTATATATGACAGACCAACAGCCAACATCATACTGAATGGGGAAAAACTAAAACTATTTCCCCTAATATCAGGAACAAGGCAAGTATGTTCACCCTCTCTACTCTCTTTAATAGAGTTCTGGAATTCCTAGCCAGAGCAATAAGGCAAGAAAAGGTCATAAAAGGGACTCACATAGGGAAAGAAGAAATCAAACTATCCCTATTTGCAAATGACTTGATCTTATACCTAAAGGACCAAAAAACTCCACCCCCAAGCTCCTAGAGCTGTTCAACCATTTTGGCAAAATAGCAGGATACAAAATTAACCCACAAAAGTCAGTAGCCTTTCCATATGCTAACAATGTAAAAGCAGAAATGGAAATCATGAATAAAACAACTCCATTTGCAATAGCCTCAAAAAAAAAAAAAAAAAAAAAGTCCTAGAAGTTAACCTAACCAGAAACATATAAGATCTTTATAGTAGGGGATGGGAATGTGGCTTAGTGGTAGAATGCTTGCCTAGCAGTACCACATAAACTGAAAAGGCCAGAAGTGGCGCTGTGGCTCAAGTGGTAAGAGTGCTAGCTTTGAGTACAGAGAGGCTCAGTGACAGAGCCCAGGCCCTGAGTTCAAGCCCTAGGACTAAGGGGGAGAGGGGAGAGATCTTTATAGTGAAAACTCTAAAAATCTGAAGAAAGAAATCAAAGAGGGCACCAAGAAATGAAAAGACCTTCCATATTCATGCATTGGTAGAATCAATATTATGAAAATGCCATACTGCCAAAAATTATATACAAATTCAGTGTAATCCCCATCAAAATCACAATGATGTTCTTTATGGGAAAACAAAAGACCTAGAATAGCCAAAGGAATTCTAGGCAAAAAAAGGGAATGTGAGTGGTATCACAATACCAGGCCTCAGACTCTACTACAGAGTCATAATAACAAAAACAGCTTGGTATTGGCACAAAAAGATGGAACAGATTAGAAGAGTCAGAAATAAAACCATACACTTAAAGTTATCTGATATGTGATAAGTGAGCCAAAGACACACAGTAGAAAAAAAATAGCCTCTTTAATAACTAGTGTTGGGGAAACTGGGCATCCATATGCAGAAAACTAAAAGTGGATCCTTGTTTGTCATCATACATTAATATCAATTCAAAGTGGTCAAAGGCCTCAATATCTAGGAGAAACATTAGAACTTACAGGTATAGGTAAAAATTTCTTGAATAGAGTCCCAGGGACACAACAGGAGAGAGACTTGAAAGTGGAACCACAATAAAACGAAAAGTTTCTGCACAGCTAAGGACATAATTACTAAACTAGAAAGACTGCCAACCAATTGGGAAAAGATCTTTACCAGCAATATATCAGACAAAGGTGTAATATCCAATATATACAAGGAGCTCAAGAGGCCAACCCCTACCCAAACCTAATAAACCAATCACTAAATGGGCAAGGGAGCTAAGGAGAGAGTTCTCAGATGAGGTAAGAATGGCAATGAAATACTTGAAGAAATGATCCTCATCCCTGGCCATAAAAGAAATGCAAATCAAAACAAATGAATTCCATCTCATTCCACTAAGACTGGACAACATTGTGAAGTTGAACAACAAATGTTGGTTGGGATGTGGGGAAAAAGGTACCCTTCGGTACTGTTAGTGGGAATGTAAACTAGTATAACCACTCTGGACATTAGTCTGGAGGTTCCTCAAAAAAACCAAACATAGACCTTCCCTACAACCCAGCCATACCACTCCTGGGCATCTACCCTCACATCATGAGCCAGTATATGATAAAGACACCTGCACATTCATGTTCACTGCTGCACTAGTCCCAATAGCCAAGATAAGGAAACAGCCCAGATGCTCCACCATAGATGACTAGATCCAAAACTGGAATTTGACACAGCCTTTAGAAAGAACAAAATGTGGGCTGGGAAGGTGGCTCAGTGGTAGAGCGCTTGCCTTGCATGCATGAGGCCCTGGGTTCAATTCCTCAGCACCACATAAGCAAAAGGGAAAAAAAAAGCCGGAAGTAGCCCACGACCGGACCAAAAAAAAAAAGAAAATGTAGCCGGGCGCTGGTGGCTCATGTCTGTAATCCTAGCTACTCAGAAGGCTGAGATCTGAGGATCGAGGTTCAAAGCCAGCCCGGGCAGGAAAGACCGTGAGACTCCTATCTCCAATAAAACCACCAGAAAACCGAAAGTGGCACTGTAGCTCAAGTGGTAGAGCGCTCGCCTTGAGCTGAAGAGCTGAGGGACAGTGCCCAGGCCCAGAGTTCAAGCCCCACGACCGACAAAAAAAAAAAAAAAAAAAAAAGAACAAAATGTCATTTGCAGGAAAATGGATAGAACTAGAACAAATCATGTTAGGTGAGGTAAGGTAAGCTCAGAGAAACAAACAGCACATTTTCTCTGATATGCAGAAATTAGATCTACAATGCGCTGGAATGTGACAAATTATACAGATTATACAGATTTCTAGATACTCACACACAGCAAGGCCAAGGAGGTTGTTAAAGTAGTGCAGGCACTGTGGGCATGAAGGACTAGAGACACCAAGAGATATAGCAAGCAGCCTGCCCCAAAATTTCTGAAAATGCTAAAAATATAATTACTCTAAGACCCAGCAATTCTACTCCTAGATATATATTCAAGGAAAATGAAAACACTATGAGCTCAATACTTTGAACACAAACATTCATAACAGTATTATTTATAATAGCCAAAACAGCCTAATGTCCTTTGAGAAACAAAATATGGTATGTTTGTATAATAGAATATAATCTGGCAAAAAAAAAAAAAAAAAAAGGAATTTAGGTATTGATACATACTGTGATATGGATGAATTCCAAAAACAGACTAAGTGAAAGAAATGACTCATAAAATGCCTCCTTTTGTGTGAATCCATAGCAAGGACCTTATTGTGTAGTGTCCTACCCCAAATTTCAAAAATTGAAACTCTAGCCCCCTATGTGATTATATCTGGACTTAGGGCTTTTAGAAAATCAACTATGGCTGGGTACTGGTGGCTCACACCTGTAATCCTAGCTATTCAGGAGGCTGAGATCTGAGGATTGCAGTTCAAAGCCAGCCTAGGCAGGAAAGGCCGTGAGACTCTTCTCTCCAATAAACACCCAGAAAACCAGAAGTGGCACTGTGGCTCAAGTGGTACAGTGCTCACCTTGAGTTGAAGAGCTGAGGGACAGTGCTCAAGCCCAGAGTTCAAACCCCATGACAAAAAAAAAAAGAAAAGTCAGCAACGGAGATAACTGAGGCCCTTAACCAATAGCACTGGGATCCAAAAGGAAGATACTAGATGTCTCCATGTGATCACAAAAGTAGATTCTGTGTGAGAGCATAGCATGAAAGTGGCCATTTATCAACAAGAAGAATGGCCTCACCTAAAACCAACCCTGCCAACACCATGTTCTGGACTCTAGCCTCCAGAACTGTGAGGGAATAAATTTCTGTTCAAGCCACTCAATCTGTGGTATTTGGTTATGGCAGCCTGAGTTATCTTTGACATTCCACTTATAGGACGCATCCAGAATAGACAAATCTATAGACAAAGAAAGTAGATTAATACTTCTAAGGCTGGGGGTTAGGATGAAAAGTATGAGAGATGACTGCTAATGGATCCAGGGAGGGTTCCTTTCTGTGGTACTGAAATAAGATTATGGTGATAGTTATACAAATATGTGTCCATACTAAGTCACTAATATATACACATTAAATGAGTGGATTACATGAATAGTATCTCCAAAAGCTATAGAAGACATCAGTAATCTTTTTAAAATAGGCATGCTAGAAAATGTATCAGTCCTTAAAACAACTTACCAAATATCGTATTAGTTTGGGAAGAAATGTAAAACACGGAAGATACCTCCTTACAGAAATGCAGAAAGATTTCAACTTCAGTTCTTCTTCTGAAGTCTTTCCAAATACTGGAAAGAAAGTTGTACAGGCTACAAAAAATGCCATCACTGTCACAACTGAAGGCATTAGGAGTTCATCCTTTAGTAGAAGAGGTAGCATACTGTAAACAGGAAAACCATCAAAACAAAATCATCAATTCAAATCACCACTTTGTAAAAAGTTTTATGTGTTTATAAAAATAAAGAAAATGTTACATGGGAAATGATACATAGTTTGACTCACCTAAAGGTTGATACAAGCAAAAACCAAGTAGCCATAAAAGGCATTTCATTTAAAACTAAGCAGACTGGCCTAAAATGACAAAGAAAAAAGTTTTAATATTACAGAATATAATTTCAACCTCTGCTTATAAAAAATATAAGTAACATTTTATTTATCAGATTTTTAAGGGTAGCTTACAAGGAAAAAGCCATTTGTCCACATAACACTGATTCATTTTTTTATAGTAGTCTAATCTGTGTCTACAAAGAAGGTATCAACTCTACACAAGCACTTGAAAACTGCTACAATCATATGCCATTAGTGGAATGTTTTTATACAAACAGTACCTTAAGGAAAAGGTCAGATAAGCCCTATCTGAACATTCAGAGAAAGAAAGGTTTTCATATTTTTCTTTTCTTGTATGACAGGGTCTCACTATGGAGCCCAGGTTGGCCCTGATTTTGTGATTTTTCTGCCATCAGCCTCCCAAGCTATGGAATTGCAGGTATGGGCCACCACACTCAGCCTATCTATTTCATCCTACTTGGAAAATATAAGATGAATCCCCATGACAGCTTTTTTTTTTTCAAACTTTGATTTTTATGTTCCTCAACTTTACATATTAGCTAAATTAAAAAATAAAGTTTTAACAGAGAAGATCATCATGTCAGTGAGGAAAGGAAACGAAAGAGAAGATAAAGGGAAAGAAATACTAATGGGAAACTAACAGCAGGAAACTGAGTCATAAGAGACAACATGAAAAGGGCTCTCCTTTAGGAACAAAAAGCACAATGCCAATAAAGTAGGGCTGTTGGGTTATCAAACAGCTGTCTAAGATCATAGCTCCAAATTCGCTGACCTCCTACCCTTGTTCCAATACCTTCTGGATGCAAATATGTGAGTATTCACAGAAAAGGGGGTGAGTCAGAAGATTTGAATGCTAATCCTATTTCTGTCACATTCTGTGTGACTGTGAAACAATAATTAGCCTGTCTCATGCCTATGTGGCATCATACTAATAGCTTGTATTGTTAAGTAGCTGAAAGAATTCTGGGAGTATCTAGTATTTATTTTTATCAATAAAAGTACACTTTTCTAATGGTGATGGCTCTGAATAATTGTTGCTTTTATTAATATTTGGGCTTCCCTCACTTTTAAACCTGCTCCTAAAAAGTTTGAGCATTCTCCCCTTTATTAGAAGGAAGCTTCTCTCCATATCACCTAGCACATGAGATTAAATCTTGGGATTAAAAACTCATTGAAAGCTCCCATACTAAGAAATAATACTATGGCATTTTCCATTTCACTGCTTAAATATATTCTAAATCAGAATGCATTCACTAGTAAGAACATAGTAGTTGCTCAATATATATGATTTTCCTAGGTCTTAATTATTTCCATTAATTTGTTTAATATATAATTACAAAACCCAAAGCACTAATAAAATTTATTAATTTTTTATTAGTGCTTTGGGTTTTGTAATTATAGATATAATGTAGATATATGTAGATACTACTCTGAAAAGAATACAAAGATGACTAGAACTCAGCCCCTTAACCTCAAGGTACTTTATTGATAGGAATAAACTCAAGCAATAAAATCTCCTACATTTTCTTTTTTTTTTTTTTTTTGGTCAGTCGTGGGGGCTTGAACTCTGGGCCTGGGCGCTGTCCCTCAGCTCTTCAGCTCAAGGCGAGCGCTCTACCACTTGAGCTACAGCGCCACTTCCGGTTTTGTGGTGGTTTATTGGAGATAGGAGTCTCACGGTCTCTCCTGCCCAGGCGGGCTTTGAACCGCGATCCTCAGATCTCAGCCTCCTGAGTAGCTAGGATTACAGGCGTGAGCCACCAGCGCCCGGCAATCTCCTACATTTTCAACCTCTTCTCTCATCTCCTTCACCTTGTTTGAAGCCATCCCTGGTTCCTCATTCCTTTTAGAATAAAATCCAGAGTTTCTAATGTCACCTACAAGGTCTTATACAACTTGGACCCATTACCTTGTTAAGAGGTAAGATCTAACCTAAGAGAAAAGCATGTCCTCCCAGCTTTCAGTGAAATGAGACTACTGTGTTCAGAGTAAGGACTCTATTCACATAGGCCAGCCCAGCTGCTTTCAGACCAAAACTCCACATAATAAAAGAAATACTGCATGCTATTTGTCATGGCTCATTCTGCACATATATCTTCCACAGAAACCTTACAAACATAGAGTCAAGTACAATTTTTGTTGTTCTTCTTTGTGAGTGGAATGGAATAAATAGTAGTACCCAGTTGGGATTGACCAAGGAGTGGATGCAAGTATTCCAAAGTATTCTGGTCAAATACTGTTTAAACAATATCAGGAAAACATGCCCCACTTATCAACCAGTTCTTTCTATGAAGACTGGGAAAATTTTAATCATCTTACAGTAGTCTGGTTAAGGACTACCAATAAGTTATTTTAAAAATTCTTCATCTAAAGATCATAAAGACAAGGCAAACAACAAAAACAAGAAAAAAAATGTAGGAAAAATCCTGTAGATGTAAATGTAGAGAATAAAACTATCAAATAAATGAGAAAGTGAATGGAATGAAAAAGGCAAAAAAAAAGGAACAGGCTCCAATCTAAAGAAAGCCTCTTTGGAGAACATTTTTTCATTAGCATTAAGAAAATAACAAAACTAGGTGCTGGTGTTTCACACCTGTAATCCCAGCTACTCAGGAGGCTAAAATCTGAGGATTGCAGTTCAAAGCCATCCCAGGCGACAACAACAACAAAAAAGCCAGAAGTGGAGCTGTGGCTCATGTGGTAAAGCACTAGCCTTGAGCAAAAAGCTCAGGGATAGTACCAAGACCCTGAGTTCAAGCCCCTATTCCCCAAAAAAGGAAAGAAAAAAAATAATTAAAAAGAAATGGGAAGGAGAAGCATATCAATAATAATTCTATTATTTTGGCCTAAAATATATGTTATAACTAAAATTGTAGACATCATCATTCTATGAAAAAATGACTAAAATCACTATATACAAAAATATATATTTGTATTTTTATATATATAGTGATAAAGTGCTAGCCTTATGCACAAAAGCTCAGGGACAGGACCCTGGCCCTGAGCTCAAGCTCCAAGACTGGTGCACGCACGCACACGCACGCGCGCGCTCACACACACACACACACACACAAATTGTTTAGCTTTAACATTTAACCAACACTTATATGTAAATTACAAATTTATGTATATAATAAAAACAATAAATGCAAACTTCAAAGATTTCTACTTACAATGATACCAACAGAATGGACTTTTCATGTACTTGGAAAGAAAATAAAAAGAATGACAGTGCACAGCTAACCTTTAAAAAAAGGGGGCAGGGGGAATAAAGTGTTACAACATGCAAAATATACCAGCTGAATTATGAATCATAATCGAAATCAGTTCAAGTGAATTTTTAATGTTAATTACAGATACTACCTAGAGGTCAAACAGAAATAGCACTAATGTGTCTACTATTTAATCAGATTTTAAAATGTACATATTATTTTTAGAAAACATACAGCTAGATATATATAGCTACATAAAATGAGTTCACTGAGATTCAATATGCAATAAAATTACTTAACAATACTTAACAATAACCATACTTTCATCTTCTCTTGCTATTTGATTAAAATAAAAAGTATTAAGTTTACAAAAGGGTCAAAAATCTAAAACTGGTCAAATCTATAGTTCTTTAAATATATACTTCAACAAAATATACTAACCATTTTACAAATTCATCTATTTGGGGTTTTAAGTAAATTACTTAGATCTATTTTCAGAAGGTTATATTTTACATATTAGATATGTCTATATACGTATCTAATCTATCTCCAAATCCAAAGATATCTCCTATATATATCCTTCTACTTCTCCCCATTTCTCTCTGAAGATGGTGGCAGAGTAGTCCAAGCCACACCCGTCTTTCTCCTGTAGTAACCAGTAACACTTCTCCTCACTGATAAATGTTGTTGCCCCCTTATATTCTACTCTCCCATGTCACATCATGAGATTTACCTTTTTAAATCCACCCTTAGATTCCCTCTATACTTTGAATAAAATCCAAACTCCTAGAGGTCTAGCTTTCGTCTCTTGACTTCTAATTCATTCATTCATTCCACACCAGCCACTTCATGCTTTTCCAAATTTGCAAGCCAAATTTGTTCTTGTCTTAGGGTAATTTTTTAAAATGAGAAAATGTTTTTTTTTTAAATTATTTTTCTTATATCCCTAAAAGTAATTATCTTCTAATACTATTATAGGTATTCACATCCTAAAATTCTATTCCATTATTTTGAAATATACATTTTTAGTATGCTATTTCCTAGAAAAATCAGATTGTTTCTCACAAACTTGAAAATATTTCATAAGTCCCTTGAAAACATCAAAATACAACATTACTAACCATGTCAAATCTGTCTAAATATTAACATGTTCACAGTTCATTCAGAGAATAAAACTTAAAGAACCCATCAATAAAAAGATAATTAAAATAATAACCAGGTATAATATCACACACTTGTAATCTCAGTACTTGGAAGTCTGAGGCAGAAAGAAAAATAAAAAGTCTATGCCAAGCCAGGTGCCAGTGCCTCACACCTGTAATCCTAGCTACTCTGGAGGCTAAAATCTGATGACTGTAGTTTGAAGACAGTCTTGGCAGTAAAGTCCAAGAGATTCTTATCTCCAATAAACTACTTAGGAAAAAACAGAAGTGGCACTGTGGCTCAAGTGTTAAAGTACTACCTAGGACTGGCACCAAAAGAAAAGTATATGCCATCCTGAGCTACAGAAACTTTGTATCATATATTGAAAAAAAAAAAAAAAAAAAAGCTGGGCACCAGTGGCTCATGCCTATAGTCCTAGCTACTCAGGAGGCTGAGATCTGAGATCTGAGGATCACAGTCTCAAGCCAACCTGAGCAGGCAAGTCCATGAGACCCTTTTCTCCAGAAAACTAGAGGTGGAGCTGTGGCTCAAAGTAGTGAAGTGCTAGCCTTGAGCGAAAGAGCTCAGGGACAGTGAGTGTCCAAGCCCTGAGGTTCAAGCTCCATAATAGACCACTGGAAAAAAACAACAACAACAAAAAAAAAAAAAACCCCAGGAACTTAACTGCACTGTGGCACAGAGGTCACTTCTGAAATATTCATCTGTCATGCTCTGCTCTTATTTTTAGAGTGCAATGTATGTAGTACTTGTCCCAAAAGTAAAGCTAATTCCTAAAATGAAACCCACCGGGATTACTATTTCCATAAACTAAATGCTCTTAATACTTTAGAAACTAATGTTATTTTATAGAACAAGGCACACAGAAACAAAATTTTAATATTATAGAAATATAACCAGGAGTAATGCTGACACAAGTGACTCATGATTGTAATCCTTGGAAGGACAAGATCCAAAGGATCACAGTTTGAGGAAATCCAGGCAGAAAAGTTCTTGAGACCTTTTCTCAACCCATAGGGCTATAGTAATGTAAAACTCTCATCCTAAGATATGTAGGAGGCCAAGATTGGAAAGACAGAAGTTCCAGGACACTCTGGTCAGGAAAGTCCTTAAGACTCCATCTCAAGGAAGGAAAGTTGGATACAGTGGCAAGTGCCTGGCATTCCAGAAACTACAAGAAGCCTAAAATATTCAGATCAAGGTCCAGGCACACCCAACAGGAAGTGAGGTTCTATATCAGAAATAACTAACAAAAACTAGGGCTACATACAGGGGAGCTTAGCAGTAAAGCACCTACCTAGCCAGCAAGAGTCCTTGAATTCAAACCCCAGTTATTGCCCCACAAAAGAAAAAAATACAACCAGGAGAATTTATAAACCCACTCAGAAAAACCCTAAACTATAGGAAATATACCCAATCCATCTTAAACTGACATGGCACCTTCATAAAACAGATCTACCCCTTCCCATCCCATTTTTCAGTCCTCTTGTACATAGATTAAACTGCTAATCATTCAACAATATATTCAAAGTCATCTGTAATTTGGTCTACTGTTTTACCTCTACCTCTTTCCTATTCTGAACACACACACACACACACACACACACACACACACACACACACACACACACACACACACACACACACACACACACACACACACACACACACACACACACACACACACACACACACACACACACACACCATAAATTTTATTGCTTAAAAGGTTTCTCAAAACATTTCCTTTCCTACTTTGAGCTCTTCTGGTTGTGAATTTCTCTTCTACTAGAATCTCCTATTCCAAATTTTGCCCAACTTTCAAATTTGGCTCAAATCCCATTTGCTCTAAGCAGCTGTCTAAATACTTTCTCCAATGTCTCCCTTTCCCATACCATCAGCATAGGACTTGATTTGTACCTGACAGACTTAACACCATCTGCTTGATAGCGTAATTATTTAAGTATGTTTATCACTATTTTCTCCTTTGTATCCTCTCATTAACCAATACAAAACAGAAATTGAACAGTTGTTGAAGTAAACTGAAATGTCCTACTGCTTAGCCTTGTGCCCAACACAGCACCAAAATATGGGAGACACTCAATAATTGTCAGCCAATAAATAAATGTCTTACTTCCCAAATCAGCAATTCTTGTTCAAAGCAAGAAAATAACTATTAATACTTTTAAAAGATCAGTTTTAACAGACTTAAGTACCTAAAGTAATAAAAAACTTACCAAAGTAAATTTGAATCCTTTGGGTGAGGGCTGAAGTGTTAACTTTATGCATGCAGGAAGCACACTCAAAAACGTAAAACAAAAGCTAAACAATGAATAAAAATAAATTATGTGGGTTTTCTGTAGACATATGAAATAGCTAAAACAAACATTTTCTAAAATATAAAGATCATATTTTCATCAATTTAAATTGATTTTAAACTAAAGCTAATTTTCATTTATTAAATTTAAAACTAAGTAACATTTAAACAAAATCCATACGGAATTACCTTTAGACTTTGTACATGACTATATGATACAATACAAAATAAAATATATTTTAGTATCTAATACCATGTACAGAAAATATATAAAGCTATACAGCTGGAGACCAAGTGTCAAACATTTCCTGTAAGAAATTCAGAGATAACTAAATTTTAACACAAACATACATAAACTTTACTCCCAAAAGAAACGCTCTAGGGGCTGGGAAGGTGGCTCAATGGTAGAGCACTTGTCTTGCATGCTCAAGGCCCTGGGTTTGATTCCTCAGCACCACATAAGCAAAAAGAAAAAAGCCGGAAGTGGCACTGTGGCTCAAGTGGTAGAGTGCTAGCCCTGGGCTGAAGAGCTGAGGGACAGCACCCAGGCCCAGAGTTCAGGCCCCATGACCGGACCCAAAAAAAAAAAGAACCGCTCTAGCTCTCATTTCACAAAAGATGACAATCTGGTTTTCAAGCCCATGATAGATCAGAAAGAACAAATTATTTAATAAGAGAGCAAGCAGGAAGCTAGCGGAGTTTCTCTTGGTATGACTGGCCATGGGGAAGAAACATATTCAGCAAGCAGCAAAGTCAGCCACTTAACAGCAAGGATAACAGTCCTCAAAGCCCTGAAAACAAGTACATAAACTAATACAGTAATGTGTTCCCACTTCCAGTGGTTGTGTAACTTGTCAACTTGGCTAGACTGAACTAAAGTCCTCCAATTCCCTGCCTACATGCTTCCTATTTGGGTGACTATGAGGGGTATTCTCACTAATCTCTCAATTCTTTAATTTTTCTGGTTGACCTTGGCAGATATAATTCTAAAGAATATAACTCTTCAAGATGATGTTAAATCATGTTTAATGTATTTTCTGTTCAAGTAAGAAGTTCAATTTTATTAGACTGGGAATATAAGTCAATGTTGAAGTGCTGGCCTAGAACACACAGGGCCCTACGGCCAATCCCCAGCACTATTAAAATAAACAAATAAATAACACCTGTATTGTATGCCTTGTATAGAGGCAGAAATTTAAGGGAAAAATATCAAATAGAGAAGATTTCATTTCCTAATACTGACAGATTAATGACCTTACTTAATTTTGCAATAACATATAACACCATATGTAAACTATGTCTCTTACCTTATTATTATCTGGATATGACGTGGCAAAATATCCTTAATCTTCAGGAAAATGCTGAAGCTGCACCAAATATTGGCAACTTTATCCTAAGAGAGATTTGTTAGGTTTACGTTTGGTATAATTGAAAAGTTATCCCTATAAAGTACAACCCTTAAATATTAAACAATAAATAAAATTTGAGACACATAAAAGTTCTGTTCACATTTATGACAAAGATTAAATTCTTCAATCAATAAACATATACCTATACTCTCAACATACTTCTTTTGTCTTTCTGCAACTGGAGCTAATATAAACCATTAACTATAATGTAGACATTTCCAAGAAATACTTAGTATTTTTTCAGAGCAGTACACTATCCTTAAATATATTCCCAAATTTATTCCTTTAGAAATTGCTCTAAGAAAATTTTTCTTCCTCTAATTTATAAGACACATTACATTTAGCTGACTTAATTACACATCTGAATTTATTTAGACCAATCTACTAGATACTAGCAATAACAAGAGCTAATTGCTAATAAATCAAAATGTTCTTTTACAAAAAACAACAAATTAAATTTGTAACTGCAGGCTCTCCTGGTCATAACCCATCCTCAACAAGCTGCTTGATTCACAGCTGTATAATAAAGACATCAAGAAAAACCACTATCAATGACAACTGTACCATCCTACTTCCCTCTGCCAGATCAAAGAAAATCTCTTCAGAATTGGAGGGTAACAACTGAATGGAAGAATGGAAGAGAGTGGCAACACTATCAAACATGCCATCAACATAATCACATACGCCAATTCCTTCATTATAATTCCTTTCTTAGTTTCTTTCAAAACACTGGTTCCATCCTCCTATAAACCCACTGAAAGATAAACCCATTGAAAGATGAAATTTATGAGTTCCAATATTAAAAAGACATATATGCATTAATTCTTTTTTAAAGAAATGTTTTTCAAAAGCAAATTATCTATAAATATGTTGTCTCTAACTTTATTAAAAGGTCTTGTTTCAGAAAAATGGTTTGTTTAATTTAATTACTAAATCTAAATGATCAAATTATTCATGTAATAAAAGTTTAACAAGAGTGATTAAACTAGCATTAAATGAAATGAAATGAAAGATCTCATTAAAAATTACTATGAATGAAGGTTACATATCTCATAAGGAATTATGAGTTCTTTCAGAAGCAAACATGATTATTAGTTTAACAAATAATTTCCTCAGACTAAAAAGAGAATATAAGCCAAAAAATTACAGAGCTATTAACTTTTTATCTACAACTTCTTGTATTATCTTTCATCATGGACCCAATTTCATTGGAAAAAATTATGGATCTAATGGTAAAAATACCACCAATTCATGCAATATCCTAGAAAACTGTGTTCGAAGTTCCATATTGGTTAAATTAACTGTCAGGGAATGATTGTAGGAGGAAAGCAGCTGAGGTTTCTGTTCCTGTTCTTCTACAGAAACTCCCCAGAGGTTACAATTACAATAATAGAAAGTACTAAGTTTTGGAACATGCCTCAAATAACCCACGATCAACTGGAAAAAGTCTTCTTAGAACCTGCAGTGTTTGTTCCCATTCTGTAAAGAATGGAAGCCAGCAGAGAGTGAAGGAGGCTACAACAGTACAAACCAGCTTCATTAGCAGCACACACCTAGAATAAAACCAGAGGGGAGCAGTAAGATAGGGAAAGGTAAATAGGTCTGCAAAATCAGTGTGAATCTCATGGAATACAATGAGTGCAACAGTAACTATGCTACCAATACAGATTTAAGATTTGCGGGGAGGGAGTTGCTCACAACAGAGTTGATCATTTCACAACTGTTAAGATGTACACCTCTCCAACAAAAAGCTGTTAGTGCCAATCTAATTAACATTTAACTTCAATGACATTTCTATGGGGAAAAAAGGGATGTAGACATAAAGAAAAATGTCAAATGGGGACATATTTCTAGTAAGTATACAACATACTAAGCTCTAATATAATGAAATCCACAGCACTACTCTTAACAAACTCCACTATTTCCTTATCTTCAGAAAAGATACAATGAGGAAAATATTTAGGAAGATTTAGAATACAAAACACAACTTAAATCACTTTCTTCATCCATCTACAGCCAACACATTTATAAGAAATCACCAAAAACCAAAATAAAAGACTACCTTCCTCCAAGTTAAGTATGCCAAATCAATTCTCTGAAGAAAAACTCTGAATTCTATCTAGAGTTAAAAGTCACTCACCCTTTTCCTTTGAGGCCTTTTTTAAAACATTTGCCAAGTAAAAAGCAAAAAAATGGCAAAGAGTGGTAAAGTTCCATCTGTTTATAATTTATAGCTAAGCAAAACGCCAGTGACCCTAGCAGGTCCCAGTCACAAGAAACTCCAAGAACACCCCACAGAGCAAAGCCAAGACTCACAGCATTGTATATGTTCATATGTCAAGGAAATTATATCAATAATTAAAAGAAGGTCTTACATTTATCAAGTATATTTCATATATGATTTAAAAATAATATATGCACCATGAAAGCCACATCTAAATAGAAATTGAAAGCCACATCTAGGTAGAAATTGAAAGTTATTGGCCAGACTTGGTTACACATGTCTGTAATCCTAGTACTTAGGAAGCTGAGGCAAGAGGACTGTGAGTTTGAGGCCAGCCTGGCACATGAGTTCTATGCCAGTTTGAACTATACAGAAAGACCCTGTTTCAAAAATTTTTTAAACAAAAAAATTTTTTAAAAAGCAGCTAGATACCAGTAGATCACACCTGAAATCCTAGCTACTGAGGAGGCTGAGATCTGAGGATCACCATTCAAAGTCAGCCTGGGCAGGAAAGTTCATGAGGCTCTGTTTAACCACTAGAAAACCAGAAGTGGTGCTGTGGTTCAAGTGGTAGAGCACTAGCTACTCTTGAGCAAAAGACCTTAGGGACAGGGCCCAGGCCCTGAGTTCAAGCCTACAACAGACAAAAAAGAAAGGAAAAGGAAAAGAAAATTTTTTAAGGTCTCCAAAACAACTATGAACACCTCTGGTGCCTAAACAAATCACTATAAAGTCATACATTAAAGGATAAGTAAAGGGCTGGGAAGGTGGCTCAGTGGTAGAGCGCTTGCCTTGCATGCATGAGGCCCTGGGTTCGATTCCTCAGCACCACATAAGCAAAAAGAAAAAAGCCCGAAGTGGCGCTGTGGCTCAAGTGGTAGAGCACTAGCCTTGAGCTGAAGAGCTGAGGGACAGCTCCCAGGCCCAGAGTTCAGGCCCCATGACCGGACCAAAAAAAATAAAAATAAAAGATAAGTAAAATAATTTTATAAATATTAAAAAATATATAATGCTTAACATCCTCCCATGAGCTATTTTAAGTGCTTTACATACATTAATCCATTTAATTCTTAAAACAAGCTCACAAAGCAAGGGTTATTATTATCCCATTTCTCCCATGTGGAAAGAAGCACATAATAGTTAAAAAATATGTCCCCATGAAAACTTAAAAAAATATAAAATCAGAGCTTAATTCCAATCACAAGGGAGAAACAAACTTATTAGAACGTTTAAAATGAAAATGTGAATCAAAAAAATAGAGTACATTAGGAGTTCTTACAGTATTTAGTTATTAATTGCAGTTGCTTGATTTCTGGTGTTAGGCAAAGGACTGTTAAGCAAACCTCTAGTACTAGCCATGCCTCCAGGTCTTTTTTGGTACTGGTTATTTGCAGACAGGGTCTCACTTATTCTGGGCATACAACTAGATGTAATCCAACTATCTTACATTTCCTGCCACCATGCCCAACTTTCTTTCCTTTTGAGGTGGAGTTTCATAAACTGATTTTTCCCTGAGCTGGGCCGGACCTCAATTCTAATCTCAGCCTCCCACATAGCTCAGATAATAGGTGTACAACACCACACTCAGCTATTATTGGCAGAAAAGGGGGGTCTCATGTGTATGCCCAGGGCTGGCCTCAAATCCCAACCCCCAAGTAGCTAGGATTTCAGATGTGGGCCTCTTGGTGCCCAGCCTATTATATCATTGCCAGTGAGAATGTTAAATGGTATTCTACACTTAGAAATAATGAGATTATCTAAAATTGGACATAAATCTTATAACTCAGCAATTTCACCCATGAAAACATACTTGTATGTGCACAGACACAAGAATATTTATAACAGCAGTATTTTTCATAGTTCAAATCTAGAAACATACTAAATGTCTATCAATAACAGAACTATCTCTATTCATGCAATGGAATATTAAAAAGCAATGTTAACAACTAAAGCTATATGCACAACTACATGAACAAGTCACACAAACAAAATGTTTAGCCCAAACAACAAGCACAAAGGAATCTCTACTGTATGCTCCTTTTATGAAAAAAAATTTTTTTCAAAAAACTTTAAAGGACAAAGAGGGGCAGAACTAAAGTATAGTAGAACTAGCAGTATACCTTCAGAAAAAAATGGAGCAAGTAATTGGGAAGTATACATACAAGGGCAGTTTTATATACTGGCAATGTTCTAGTTCTTTTGCTATTGTTGTTGTTGGTTGTGGGGCCTGAACTCTGGGCCTGGGCACTGTCCCTGAGCTCTTCAGCTCAAGGCTAGCACTCCACCACTTGAGCCACAGTGCCACTTCTGGCTATTTCTGCTTAGGTGGTACTGAGGAATCAAACCCAGGGCCTCATGTATGCAAGGCAAGCACTCTACCACTGAGCCACCTTCCCAGCCCTTGTTCTAGTTTTTGATATGAGTATACTTTACCAATTGAATAGGATGCATATTTGAATAGTCATATGAAATGTCATATTTCAAAGTAAATACAATTTTTTAAATCTTGTAAATAATTTATCTTTTCGTTTTTTGAAACAAGGTCTCATGTGTAGACCAGGCTAGCCTCATAATCCTCATGCTGCACAGGAAGCAGTAAAGGCAATGGGACCAAGGACAAGTTATATATTCTTCCAGGGCACAACCCCCAGTTACTTACTTCCTCTAAGTAGGCCCAATTCCTATTTTCTACTATTTCCCAATAATGCCATCAAATTACAAATCCATCAACTGATTAATTCATTCATTAGGTTAGAGCCCTCATGATCCAGTCACTTCATAAAAGCCCTACCTCTGAGCATTGCATCAAGGACCGAGACTTATACACATGAGTTCTGAGGGGACATTTCATATTCAAACGATAACGTTAATATCTTGTAGCATTGCATAAATAGTTCCTATTAGCACCCAAGCATGTAAGACATTATTGGATGACATTATCCAAATTAAACGTAGATTTCAAATTATGTGACTGATTTTATTTCTAAATTAGTAAAGGATACTGAAAATGTCCATAATCAATAAGAATAAGACCTGGATACAGCAATATGCATAATGCATTGGCAATCTGTAAAGAGAAACATCGTGAAATAAGTCATTTCATTACTCAAACAGGGTAAAGGCTTTTATTTAATATAACAGCTAATGTTCCCATTTTCCTCAGCTGTTTTTTATCAAAATATTCCATTTTCATAAAACAACTGGTGTTGTTCACACACTGGTGTTTTTAAAGAAGTGACTTAGGGCCCTTCACTCAAAAGGAAAAATCACTACAGGGTATTGGTCAAAGGAAGTATTTTTGGATATACAAATCAAAGAGGTTAATCTAATGATTAATCTATCTAATCATTAAACATAAAATGGTCAAAAAAGAAGTGTATAACTACAACTATAAGAAGATCACAGCAACTATTCAAAATGCCTTTTCAGTTTCATCAGTCACATCAGCTCAAAATTCATATCTATCAGTTAAGCAGTAAATTCAGTATGTACATAGTAGAATGAAATTCAGTACTTTCATTATTACTATAGTAGGACATTAAGTAATTATATGATACTGGTTTCTCAATGAAAATTAACTGATAGAGCATACAGTGCTCCCAGCCTCATTATCCTTTATTTGGGAGAGGGAGGGAGATGAACAACAAATCCTTTTTTGGGGGGGAGTGAGGGTGGAGGGGTGGGTAATTGAGGGTTGAACCAGAGCCTCACACTTGCTAGGCAGGTGAATCATTCCACCAATCCATTTTTTGCATTGGTTATTTTTTAAGTAGGGATGCTTTTATGCACAGACTAGCCTTGGCTGTGATCCTACTCGTAGTATCCCATGTCACTGGGGATGACAGTCACATTCCATTGTGCCCAGCCATTGGTTGAGACAGAGTCCTGTGAACTTTTATGCCCAGGCTGCCATGAATCACAATCCTCCAATCTCTGCCTCCCAAATATCAAAGATTACAAACTTGGGACACATCACCCAGGCAGTAGAAGCTAATAAAAATACATCTCAAACCAGGTGATAGTGGCTCACACCTATAATTCTAGCTACTCAGGAGGCTAAGATCTAAAGATTGTGGTTTGAAGCCAGCCTGGGCAGGGAAGTCTGTGATACTCTTACCACCAATTAACCACCAGAAAACCAGAAGTAGTGCTGTGGCTCAAAGTAGTAGAGTGCTAGCCTTGAATGGAAAAAGCTCAGGGACAGTGCCTAGGCCCAGAGTTCAAGCCTCAGTACCAGCAAAAAATAAAAATAAATATAAATAAATAAATTTCAGAAATAAAATGCCAGATTACTTTAAAACTTACCTTTTTTCTTAGTTCAATTAATTAACTAATTAATTTCAGAGCCAAGCACCATTGGCTCATGCCTATAATTCTAGCTACTCAGAAGACTGAGATCTGAAGGCTTATCTCCAATTCACCACAAAAGGCTGGATGTAGAGCTGTGGCTCAAGAGGTAGAGAGCTAGCCTTGAGCACAAAAGCTTAGGGACAGCACTCATGCCTAGAGTTCAAGCCCCAGGACCAGCAAAAAATAGAAATAAATATAAATAAATAAATTTCAGAGATAAAATGCCAGATTGCTTTAAAACTTACCTTTTTCTTAATTGAAATTTCTTTTAAACAACAACAGTACAAAACTACTGCAGGTATGTAAACCAGCAAATCAGCAATTAAAACTGAAACACAAGCAAATAATTTCAAGCATGAGTACATGGGGATCTTTAGCAACCTATTAACTGCCTTTCTTTCTCAACCTTGATTAAGAATTCTATTAACATAAGGCTCCTACCCACTATGGACCAGGTCCTGACACAATTAACCCTTTCTGTTTTCTTCATCTGTGCCTAATTTCAAATATATTACAAAAGAGTTTCTTCACTTTTTTTTTTTTTTTGGGTCCGGTCATGAGGCCTGAACTCTGGGCCTGGGTGCTGTCCCTCAGCTCTTCAGCTCAAGGTTAGCGCTCTACCACTTGAGCCACAGCGCCACTTCCGGCTTTTTTCTTTTGCTTATGTGGTGCTGGGGAATCGAACCCAGGGCCTCATGCATTGCAAGACAAATGCTCTACCACTGAGCCACCTTCCCAGCCCCTCTTCACTTTCCCTAGCAACTCATACATTCCATCAATTAGATGTACTTCATCTTTTCTCTTTGCTCTAACTTTAGCTTAAAAATGAAGAATGCTCAAAGCAAGAAAAGGTATTTTTTTGCCTCAGTATCTGTATACTCTGAATTTTCTCATGAGGACAATTCAAATGTGATTTATAGGAGAATGTAAATGTGTTTTTGTGTGTACACACACATATGCACGCACACGCACACACACACATGCACACACACTCGTGCGGGTGCTTGAACTCAGAGCTTCACTCTCAGACTTCTTACTCAACGGCTGGCAAACTACCACTTGAGCCATGCCACCATTTTTGCATTTGGATGGTTAACTGGAGATGGCCTCAAACATTTTTGCCTTGCTGGCTTTGAACAGAAATCCTCAGATTGCAGCCTCCTGATTAGCTGGGATTACAAACAAGAGCTAGCAAGCACTCTACCACTAAGCCACCTTCCCAGCTCCAAGAGAATCATTTTTAAATGTTAGTATTTTATAGGGTTGAGGTATACTAACTCAAGAAGCAGAGTACTTTCCTAGTAAGCCTGAGGCCCAAGTTCAATTACTGGCACCACAAAATAGGTAGGTAGGTAGGTAGGTGGGCTAAGTGGGTGGGTAGAAAGTTAAGAGAAAGGAGGAAGGGAGGGAGAGGAAAGAAAGCAATGGGAGAAGGAAGGGCAGAGGAAAAGGGAAGGAAAGTAATTTTTAACTATTAATGCATATAAAGAGCTTGAGGGTGGGTTGGGTAGATTGGCTCATGGCCTTAATTTCAACATTTGAAGCAGGAAAATCAAGAGACTTACCGAACACTTTCCTTCTGATAGACAGATATCTGTTTATGTGTTCTTTTAGAACCTTTACAGAAATAAATTATATTCTCCAATAGGACAACCTAGCTGTCCAGTGACTTTTTCTTGTACCTTACTAAATGTAACATGGAAAAAAAGCAATAGTAAACTATGAGTGTTATTGTGCACAACATACAATCATCTACAAATGATACATTTAAGATGATTCTGTGGATGTAGCTCAATAGTAAAGCAATGCCTAGCATGATCAATTCCAGCACTTTAAAAAAAAATCCAATATGCTATAATCCCAGCACTCAGAAGACTGAGGCAGGAGGATCTAAAATGAGGCTATTCTGAGCTACAGAACAAGACCCTGTTCTCAAAAGGGAAAAAAAAGACACTGACAAACTGAAACATACCTAACTAGTCATCTAAGGAATAGTTAAAACAATATTCAATCTGGAGGAATGATTTCCAATGACTGCAGGTCATTCAGTATATAAAGGAACAAATCTATTCTATTCTAATCTATTCTAGAATGACAAGGAAGTTATAATTCAAGAAGAAAAATTTTTAAAAAACCAGAGCTCTCTGAAAATAGAATAAGGCATTGTGTGTGTGTATGGGGGGGAGGGAAGCCTTGAACTCTGAGCCTACGTGCTGTCCCTTAGTTCTTCAGCTCAAGGGGAGTGCTCTACCACTTGAGCCACAGTGCCACTTCTAATTTTCTGAGTGTTTTAGTGAAGATAAGAGTCTCACAGGGCTGGGAAGGTGGCTCAGTGGTAGAGCGCTTGCCTTGCATGCATGAGGCCCTGGGTTCGATTCCTCAGCACCACATAAGCAAAAAAGAAAAAAGCCAGAAGTGGCTCTGTGGCTCAAGTGGTAGAGTGCTAGCCTTGAGCTGAAGAGCTGAGGGACAGCCCAGGCCCAGCGTTCAGACACCACGACTGGCCCCCCCCCCCCCCAAATAAAAAAGAGTCTCACAGACTTTACTGCCAGGGCTGACTTTGAACCACGATCCTCAGATCTCAGCCTCCTGAGTAGCTAGGATTACAGGCATGAGACACTGGCGCCCAGCAGAATAAGGCATTCTAAAGGTTGAGTTTGATAATGGTTCAGATAGTGAGAACATAACTGGCAAAGGAATAAAGCATTGGAAGAGAAGGAGAAAGATGTGGGAAAGAGAAAGAGAGACAAGATAGGTAATATTCTGGACCTGAAGATTCTAAAAAAACAGATTCACAAACAGATAGCTACACTAATTTAGACTAATTAATGAGAACGCTCAGCTAGCACTAAAATCTTAGTCATAGAAAGCTTATAAAGAAAGCTAAACTAGGGGCTGGGAAGGTGACTCAGTGGCAGAGTGCTTGCCTTGCATACATTAGGCCCTGGGTTCACTATTCCTCAGTACCACATAAGCAGAAAAAGCCAAAATGGTGCTGTGGCTCAAGTGGTAGAGCTCTAGCCTGAGCTGAAGAGCTGAGGGACAACACCCAGGCCCAGAGTACAGGACCCATGACTGACCAAAAAAAAAAAAAAAAAGAAACCTAAATTTGTTACTTCCAAACTCCTAGAACAGCACACACAGGTACTCAATAAAGTTAAGATGGGCCTGTGGGTACAGATTAGTGATAGGGCATTTGCCTACCATGGGCATATCTCTGGATTTTATCCCCAGCACCACAATGTTGAAATGCAAAATGTGAAAAATTATTCAATTTAGCAACAATGAACAACTAGAGATGTATGAGATATAATGGTGAGGTTGACTTTAAGGAAAAGGTGAAAAGAACCTAAAATTAGGACATGGAAGCAGCCATCTAATCAACTGAAACTGCAATGCACAGCTCTGCAACCTCAGAGAAGTCATATACCTCACCTATCTGTGCCTAAATAGCTTCTCAGCTTAAAATAAGGTTAGAAGCTAGGTACCAGTGGCTCATGCCTATAATCCTAGTTACTCAGAAGGCTGAGTAAGATCTGAGGATTGTGGTTCAAAGCCAGACTGGGCAGCAAAATCCATGAGACTTTCATCTCCAAATAATGAGAGAGAGAAAGAGAGAGAGAGAGAGAGAGAGAGAGAGAGAGGAGAAAGAGAGAGCGAGTGAGCACACCAGAAGTGGTGCTATGGTTCAAGTGGTAGAGCACAAAAAAGCTCAGGGATAGTGCACAGGCCCTGAGTTCAAGCCCTAGGATAGACACGCACAGACACAGACAGACACATGAACACACACATAAACACACAGCCCAGGGACAAGCACCCAAGCCCTAAGTTCAAGCTCCAGGACCAGGAAAAAAAAAAAGACAAGAACAGTATTCATCTCATTTGGTGACTCAATTAGAGATAATAAAATACACAGAATTATTCCTTTCTACTCCTTTGGTTTTTAGTTTACATACACTTTTAGCTTTATATCAGATATATATACATGTCTATACATATGGTAGTTGTTCAAATTTAAAGTCATTAGGTTCTTTTTATTAATTGGTCTGAAACTGTCAAAAACTCAAATTTGATACCCAATTCCTATTGTTACCTGTGGTACGCATGAAGAGCTTATGCTCCGGACTCTCATATCCACGTGATGCATGGAGAGCAATCCACTCTGGATTTATAAATTTTGCCCTGCAAACCAAAGCACAAACACATGTACTTTATTCCTCACTTCTTTTAGCAATAAGGACACTACAGGACATGGGACTTACTTTGAGAATTAGCCATTGCTTGTAGTAATCAGTGATGAAGCTTTACTCTTTATTTAACCAGATGAAACTCACTTAAGCTATAAAACTCATGTCTTACAGCTCATAATCTTTTAGTTATAACTATTGATGATAATAAACTGTTATTAATCATAAATCACTATAGAAAACTAAATTAGTGGGCTGGGGATATAGCTTCATGGTACACTTCTTGCCTCGCATGCATGAAGCCCTAGGTTCAATTCCTCAGTACCATATACACAGAAAAAGCTGGAAATGGTGCTGTGACTCAAGTGGTAGACAGCTAACCTTGAGTAAAAGAAGCTCAGGGGCAGTGCCCAGGCCCCGAGTTCAAGCCCCAGGACTGGCAAAAAAAAAAAAAAAACACTAAGTTAGTATTAAAGAGACATGAAGTTTTCAATCTTATTATAATATGCATGCTGAAAAGTATAACTAGTTGTTATGATGTTTAGGAGTTTATTTTCAATCCATAGTTTATTTTTACAAAATATGAAAAAGTTAAATGTTAGAATAAAAAAACATGGAAAATGAGCTCAAGAAATACTATGAAAATATTTCTTGAAGACAAACTTTAAGTCTGAGATGAAATACTAGTAAGAATAGAACTAGGAGACTCCACTAAAACAAGTCTCATTTTCCATAAACTATTCCATTTCTTCAAAGGAAAGAGGAACTCCAATCCCAAATCTTAAATCAAAGTGAAACTTATTTGGGTGGTTGAACAGGAGGGGGATGACACATATTTAATATGGGCACAACTAACCAATATTACATATATCTCTTAGTGATCAGTGTATAATTAGTAATGTTTCCACTCCAAAACAAGGCTGCTGAATTTTTATATTTTGATCTAGCCTATCATCCACAAAAATTATAGAAATGTACAAATTTTGATATTCTTAAAATCCATTTGTAATACACAGTAAAACTGAACTATAGGGTATCTTTCCTCTCTTCAATAAAGCCAGATCAGACTTTCTTATGTCTACCAAGGGTACAAAAATTCAGTTACATTAAGGAAGAAAAACTTACACATAAGCACACAAAAAGCTATGGTAAGCTGTGAGAGGTGGATAGTCCAGTCCCCAATACTGTAAATTGTTATCACTGCTGTTAAAATACCTGGAAAAAAAATCAGAAAAGAAAAAGAAAATTAAAAAGCACCATTCCATTATCAATATTCAAGATTTATTCAACATGTATTATCTAACTGAATTTCATCTTAAAACTTGAACTATTACAATAATAATTAAGCTGTGAAAAGATATAAAGCAGGTGTTTTAGGCAAATTAGGACTAACCACTTTTCAGTTAATTGATCTAATCAGTGACTAATACTCATACAACAAAAATATACAACCAAAAAAGACAATTTGCACATCATAGTCTTAACACACTAAAGAAATGGTATTTTTTTTAATTCACAATTTTAAAAGATAAAAGTCAATTTCAAAAATACATGAAGATCTAGCTTAGGGAAAAAGAAATACCTGCAGGCAGGCCTTGTTGTCTTGAGGTTCCAGTGACAGAAACCAGCTAAGCAAGCGCTATCCCACTGAGCTTTCCCCAGTCCTAGGAAGGCTTGGAATTAAAGTTATGTTTGAAGTGAGTGCTGGTGGCTCACACCTGTAATCCTAGCTACTCAGGAGGCTGAGATCTTAAGTCCCGGTTCAAAGGGAGCCCAGGCAGGGAAGTCCATAAGATGTTATCTCCAATTATCACCTAACCACCAAAAAGCAGGAAGTGGAGCTGTGGCTCAATGGAAGAGCACTAAAATTTCAGAAACAATGTCCAGGCTCTTTTTGTTCAACAACAACAACAAAAAATTTTTTTTAAGATTATGTTTGAAGAAGTCTCACTCTAAGTGCTATGCCTCAAGAAATAAAAATTAAGCTTCCATAAACATTCTTAGTCCTGCCGGGCACTGGTGGCTCACGCCTGTAATCCTAGCTACTCAGGAGGTTCAAAGCCTGCCCGGGTAGGAAAGATCGTGAGACTCCTATCTCCAATAAACCACCAGAAAACTGGAAGTGGCGCTATAGCTCAAGTGGTAGAGTGCTCGCCTTGAGCTGAGGAGCTGAGGGACAGCACTCAGGCCCAGAGTTCAAGCCCCACGACCGACAAAAAAAAAAAAAATTCTTAGTTCTATCCTTCGTAACTAAGCAGCTTCTCCCATCCAGTTTACTTTGTCATAGGAATAACTTCTAATAATGTATATCAAACTACATAATCTACAAGTCGCCACTGCTCATAAGTCTGTTTATAATAAGTCACAGTTACAAGTTAGAATCTCATACTTCAGGATTAAAGTTTTTAAGCTGGTACTCAACATTAGATATTGCCTCTATTCAGTAGTACCAGTTGGCCATTAGCCAGACAACTGCTGGGACAGATATGGCCATGAAAAATCAAGTAATTCAATTAATCAAGTAATTCTAGAAATCAAGTAATTCATTTTGATCAATACAACTTGGTTTTCAGCTTCTTAGAAAGCAAAAACTAGTTTTCACTCACTTTCATGTGTAGATTCACTGGAAATAAGCGAGAGAGGTGCTAAAATGATGGCAAGCTGTAAGCATTCAGTATCTTCAAATAAAGTATATTATCATAAAAATAAAATTCAGCCAAAATCGTCCATACCATTGTTTAATAGGTAAATTATAAGTGACTTCTTGCCAGTGTCTCTGAGCTTCATAATCCCCAAACATGGGAGGTTTTCCAGCACCTACAAAAAAAAATAAAAACAGCAGAACACTAATGGACTTCAGTATACCAGTGATTTTAAATTTTCTTATAAAATTTTTCTAGGGCTTGGGATAAAAGTCAATGGTAGAAAATCTGCCTAGCATGTTGGAGGCACTCTGTTCAATCTCTAGCACCAAAAATTATTAATTAAATTAACCAATTAATTAAAGCGAAGGAGGGAGAAAAGGAAAATAGGAAGGGAGGGAGGAAGGGAGGAAAGAATTGTAAAAAAAAAAAAAAAGAATTGTAGAGACAATGCTGGCAAGAACATAGCAAGTTACCAAAAAATCAGGGAATGAGATAGAATCCTGGCACTGCTAGCAAATTGAGCAACTGTGTGATAAACAAACTACTTATCTTTCCTAAGCTTTAGCAAATTAAAAACAGAAACATAATTTATCTAGAAAACTTCCAGAATAATAGATATAAAGGATCCAGAATAGTACCTAGTACATAGTAAACATTCAGTAAATAAAAATACTATTTCATTACTGTCCATACTATTAACATTTTTAAGTTATAAGAAGGATTGTCAAACTAGATGCAGTGGTACACTTGGGAGGCAAAGACAGAGGACTAAGTTTAAAACCAGCCTGGGCTATATAGTGAGACTCTGTTTAAAAAAAAAAAGTCAACTACACTGTCTAAGAAGTATCAAAAATAATCATAAATATGTCATTTGCAAAGAGCTTTTACAAATTAAATATAAATAACTTACAGTGGCATACAGAACTAAATACAGACTATGTATTACATAGCCATTAGTCAGGTCAGGCTTTGAGTTTATAAACACTGTCAGTTTATAACATTTTCTATTTCAAAACTGCAAAGAAGGGATAAAGGACTTTTAGTAAGTAACACTTGATAGTACACAATACAACAACACTTTGCAATAAGTATTAGTATTATCCCCACTTTAATTGAGTTATCAAGTACCAGGATTTGAATTCAAGGCCTCATGCTTGCTAGGATGCTCTATCACTGAGCCAGAACTCCATCCGTTATTATCCCCACTTCACAGCTAGAAAAATAGTGACAATGGTCACTGAGCTAGTAAACACCTACTCAAATGTTTTTGCAGTTCTGCAGTGAGTACTGAGAAAGTCCGGCCAGGGACACAGAACAAATTAATACATCCAGTTACAGAGAACTAGGTTCTCAGGTAAACTAGGCTGCACTAATTGCAGGACCCCTTTCATCTAACCAGAACCAAAGTACTCAGATCCTATTTCATTGCCCTCTAAGTTCATACCCAACATCAGACCAAGAACAAAATGAAATATACCAAAAAACGTTCCTCTAGCAAACCTTATCTACCTCATCCAGTCCAAAACTTTTCAGGGTTGGGTCCGTTCCTGTTAGCCCACATTCTTCATTACATTTGGGAGTGTGCAACTTGTAAATACCAGCTACGTCAAATATTATATCCTGTAGTTTTAATCTGGATTTCTTTCATCATTAATGAAATAGAGGATATTTTGTCATTTGCATTTTTCTTCCTATAAAACACTTTTGAACATTCCCACAAGATGTTTTTATCTAATGTCCCTATTTTTTTTTAAGTTTCAGTATTGGGGTTCTAACTCAGGGCCTCATACTTGATAAACCTGGCCACTTGAGCCACACTCTCAACTCTTTTTTGCTTTAGTAATTTTTCAGGTAAGGCCTCACATTTTTGCCCAGATTTTTCTGTCACAATCCTCCTATCTAAAGCCTAGTGGGATAACAGGTATGGACCACCAGGTCTGGCTTATTGTTTTACATAAGGTCTCACTAACCTTTTGTCTGTTTGACATCAAACTACAGTTCCCCCCAATCTTCACCTCCAAAGTAGTTGAAATTACAAGTGTAAAATATCACACCCAGCCCTCAGAATTTAACTAGTGATTGGCTACAAAAGTGTTGAGAGCGGGCACCGGTGGTTCATTCACAACTGTAATCCTAGCTACTCAGGAGGCTGAGATCATGGCTCAAAGCCAGCCCAGGCAGGAAAAGCTGTGAAACTCTTATCTCCAATAAACCACCAGAAAACTGGGAGTGGCACTGAGTGCTCACCTTGAGCTAAAGAGTGAAGGACAGCGCTCAGGCCCAGAGTTCAAGCCCCATGACCAACAAAAACAAAAAGTGTTGAGAAAGCACAAAATGGTAGACACCAGTTTCTAAGTCAGCAAATAAGGTGAAAATCACATGAGTCAAATATACTAATTAGTCTGACAGGAAGATGTATGACATATTAATGTTCACTAAAATCTAATCTAGATTTTTCTACCTATAGAACAATGAAATAAATTATTTGCATTTTATGACTATTCTACCAATGCTCCTTAAATATTAAATTTCTACTCAAGAAGGTATTCCAAGCATGGGGTAATTTCAGGAAAAGCAGATTCATGACAGAACATTACACAGTGAGTAGCTTAAAAATTACCCAGAGTAGCTAGGTGCTGATGGCTCACGCCTGTAATCCTAGATACTCAGAAGGCTGAGATCTGAGGAACACAAAGCCAGCCTGGGCAGGAAAAGTCCACGAGACTCTTATCTCCAATAAACCACTCAGAAAACCAGAAGAGGCACTGTGGCTCAAGTAGTAGAGGGCTAGCTTTGAGCTAAAGAGCTGAGGGACAGCACCCAGACCCAGAGTTCCAGCCCCATGACCGACAAAAAAATAAATTACCCAATATACACATACATACCCATGCATATACACATGTGCATGGGCACACACACAAACACACAAAAAATACAGCAGCCTCTCAGAAAGAACCATGTCTTACTCATTTTTGTATTTTCTGCTAGTAGACTCTCCATGATAAATTCTGATAAATTCACCTAATTCTCATGGAATGTTGACATAGCATGAATATTATCTGTGTGACATCAAAGATTTTTAAGTTCAAAGAATATGTGAGTCCCTGACTTTTTATTTACTGAATATGCAATGTTAATTTAGATGGCAGATCAATTATACCAAGACTGATTAAATACAATGTCCAAATACTTGTCTTGCCTAAAATATCCTACTTTGAAAAAAATACTTTTCTTTTGTTTGAGACAGGTTCTAGCGACATAGCTCAGGCTAGTCTCAAACTTGGAAGCCTCTTGCCCCAGATTCTGAGTGCTGGGATTACAGGTATGTATTATTGGAGGAGGAAGAGTGCCTGAAATTATAAGCCTCTTTCTATTCATGCTACCCACCCCCTATTCCATTCATCTCTTCTACCAACTCATATGCAATCTTCAAGAATCACCTCAAATTTTCCATTAACTTTCGCTTATAAATTAAAAACATACTGACCAGCTAGGCATTGATGGCTTACACCTGTAATCCTAGCTACTCAGAGAAGGCTAAGATCTGAGAACTGTAGTTCAAAGCCAGCCCAGGTAGGAAAATCCATGAGACTCTTATCTTCAATTAATTACCAAGAGTCAGAAACAGAGCTGTGGCTCAAGTGATAGTATACTAGCCTTAAGCAGAAAAGCTAAGAGACAGCACCCAGGCCCTGAGTTCAAGCCCTATTATCAGCCGGGGGAAAAAAAAGTGACCATTAGTTATTGACTTCTTATATTCCTTATACTTTCAGTATCATGTTTTGCCATATAACTATACATTTCCCTACTTGCTTCCAAGAAACAGTTTTATTTCCTAAAGATAGAAAAAATTATATTCTATTGAAAGGAAACATTGGCAGGCATATATAGTACATTCAAAACATAATTAAGCCAGACACTGGTGGCTCACGCCTGGAATCCTAGCTACTCAGGAAGCTGAGATCTGAGGACCAAGGTTCGAGGTTCGAAGCCAGCCTGGGCAGAAAAGTCCCCATGAGAGTCTTATCTCCAATTAACCACTCAAAACCCAGAAGTGGTATTGTGGCTCAAATGGTGGAGAGCACTGATCTTGAGCACAAAGAAGCTCAGGGACAGTGCCTAGACCCTGTGTTCAAGCCCCACAACCAACAAAAAAATAAAAACATAATTAAGCTGAATGTGGTAGTTCAAGCCTGTAAACCTAGCCACTTGGGAAATAGAGATCACAGTTCAAAGCCAGACCAGACATAAAAAGTTCAAGATACTACTTCTCAATCAATGTCACCTGACACAAAGGAAAGCACAAATAAAAAAATGGCCTGGGCATAATGAGATCCTATTTTGAAAATAACAAAAATGGGGCTGATAGAGCAGTTCAAGTTGTAGAATGCCAGGTTAGCCAAGCACAAGTTCAAACTCTAGCATCAACAAAAAGTAAGTATAATAATAAGCGACTTGCTTAGTTAAGCTGGAAAAAACCTACAATATTTTTAAATGAAAATAATTCCCCAATAAATTGCTCTCATTTTTACATGTATATTTTAGAGGTATGTGTATGTTTGTTTCTATTTCAATTAATACAACCACTGAATACTAATTTATTTATGAGAAAAGTTGATTTTTATTTCTCATTTGTTTTTGGACCACTGACATGATGAAAGTCAGAAATGTTAAGTAATTTCCTATACCCAAAAAAACTCAACTGTCTAGATTTTTTGCAATTACTCTAGATTTGTGGTCAGTGTAGAAGAATTTATTACTATTCTCTAACAAATAGAAGAATGGATAATGACTCTCTTTAGGGTTGGGAAACAAGTTTTTATCCAGAGTCTGACCTACTTCAATAAATTCAACTGACACTGGCTATGAAATTAGTACTTACGTTTTTAAAACTGCTAAAGTGCCCTTAAACCAACCCAGAAGGACATCTCAACTGTACCTGTGGGAGCTCCACTTGGGAAGGACAAAGAGGATTCCTTCCACAGGGTGATTAATTCTACAAATTCGTTTACACAAGATTCAGAATTATACAAAGAAAACACACTAATGCATATTTATACAGACTTAATTGTCTCATTCTTACGAAAATGGCCAGTACTTAAATGTTCATTTTATTAATAACTGAATTCATTAGAATTATGCTTGAATTTAAAGAACAAGTAGTGTGTTAACAATAGATTATAGTACCTTTCACATTACTTGTTATTTATTTATTTACTTTTTGCTAGTTCTAGGACTAGACCTCAGGGCCTGGGGGATGCCCCCGAGCTTTTTTGCTTAAGGCTAACATCTATCACTTGAGCCATAGCTCCACTTCTGACTTTCTTTTTCAGTCCTGGTTAATTGGAGATAAGTCTTGTGGACTTTCCTGCCTGGGCTGGCTTTGAACCCCAATCTTCAGATCTCAGTGCCCCCAAGTGGCTAGGACTAAAGGCATGAGCCATCAGTGTCTAAGCTTGCTTACATTGCAATTTTAAACACTCTAAAAGAAAGATTTGGCTAGAATTTTTCATATAAAATTGTCTTTTATGTTTCTGGTTAATGAACTTGTAAGTACACTGGGTGCCAGTGGCTCACACCTGTAATCCTAGTTACTCAGGAGGCTGAGATCTGAGGATCACAGATGAAGCCAGCCCAGGCAGAAAAGTGCTCATGAGACTCTTATCTCCAATTAACCACTCAAAAAATGAAAGTGGCACTGTGGCTCAAGTGGTAGAGCGCTAGCCTTGAACACAAAGAGGCTTAGGGACAGCACCTAGGCCCCATTTTCAAGCCCTACAACCTTAAAAAAAAAAAAAAAAAAAGAACTTTTCTTACAAATTACCTTAAAAAGAAGACTAACCAATTAAATAGAGTAGGATCATACTCTAATATGTTGGAAAAAAGCTCATTTTGTATGACTTTTTCCTTCAAAATAGCCAATACAACTTTTGGGATAAAAAGATTATTAAAGTAAAAAAACCTTTCTGTTTAAGTGCTGTTATTTTGTCTAAAAACATCAATATACTTTGGATCAAGTACAGAGGATTTGTAAAAGGAATTCTCTACAAGAAATAATAAACAACCATCACTAAATTAAGAAACTGTCTACTCCCCATAGATTTTTTTGGTGGTCATGGGGCTTGAACTCTTGGTTGCTGTCCCTGAGCTTTTCAGCTCAAGGCGAGCGCTCTACCACAGTGCCACTTCTGGTTTTCTAGTGGTTAATTGAAGATAAGAGTCTCATGGAGTCTCCTGCCAGGGCTGGCATTGAACCTAGTTATTCAGGAGGCTGAGATCTGAAAAGTTAGAATTACAGGCGTGAGCCACAAGCGCCCAGCTAGATTATTTAAAAGCAAAAGGCAGGGGGCTGGGAAGGTGGCTCAGTGGTAGAGTGCTTGCCTTGCATACATGAGGCCCTGGGTTCGATTCCTCAGCACCACATAAGCAAAAAAAGAAAAAAGCCGGAAGTGGCGCTGTGGCTCAAGTGGTAGAGCGCTAGCCTTGAGCTGAAGAGCTGAGGGACAGCGCCCAGGCCCAGAGTTCGGGCCCCATGACCAGACCAAAAAAAAAAAAGCAAAAGGCAATATTTATTCAGTATTTTTAGTTCTATGAAAACTAATTTACATGAACAGCCTAAAAATTTTAAGGAGTACAAATTTTAGAAAGAAATTCAATTACAGTAACATATTTAAGTAGTTTATCTAAATAATGGATAATTTCCAAAGGAGGAATAATACAGTAATAATAAAGCAAGCGGGGCTGGGAAGGTGGCTCAGTGGTAGAGCGCTTACCTTGCATGCCTGAGGCCCTGAGTTCGATTCCTCAGCACCACATAAGCAAAAAGAAAAAAAAGCCGGAAGTGGCGCTGTGGCTCACCGCCCAGGCCCAGAGTTCAGGCCCCACAACCGGACCAAAAAAAAAAAAATAATAATAATAATAAAGCAAGCTAACTTTAGTTTCTACACTTTAGTGTGAAAAAGAATCTGGATCTATAGTGCTTTGTCACACTGCATATTGCAGGAATTTGGACCGATAGAGTCTTGTCACACTGCATATGGTGAAGGGAATTTGAGAAACACAGATGCAGGAAGCAGACCACTAGACCCTTGTTATGTAAGCAGGGCTTTCTTGCTATACACAGAGGGACCACCCTTATCTCCAAAATGAACAGGCTTTCCAAGTTTCCCTCAATTTGCTACTATTAGCTCATCCTCCGTGAGTCCCTATATTTTTCACAACTTTCTTCTCTCCAGCAAGCCTAGTACAAAGGCACTCAGGTTTAACTGTTTCCTCAGCTCTTCTTCTACAAGATCCCATGTTATATGAAATTTATCTTGAATAAATGTATATGATTTGCACTTATGTCTTCTTGTATGAGCCCTAGCAGAGAAACTCGGAGAGAAGAAAAAGGTACATTCCCTCTCCTATAAGTGCTTCCCAAGTACAAATGTCAGGTGGGAGAATGTGTTACTTTGTCACAGTGATGAAGACTGGCTAACACAGACCATTATGAAACAATTCTCTTCCTGTATTTATAGCACCTAATGTAATATCTAAGTGTTAAATAAACACTTGCAATGTTAGGCTTGATTATATCCCCAGTCTCCAGAACCACACTCGAGCAACTCTTCCTTCCTCACAGGTTTTTTTCTCCATTGATCTCCTCTTCTCAATCTAGAAATGTACTTTTAAAACCATCAGCAACAACGAACTATGACTGCATTTCTGTCTCTTCAATATCTAAGACATAATCGTTTCATATTTTGCTATATTTACCATTAGTATGAAGTTTTTTTCTCATAACACAAAGTGTATTTCGTTTTTAAACATTTCCTTTAGAATTACAAGTTTAAATGTTTTGTTTTCGTTTTTTGTACTACCAGGCTTCACAGCTGCTTGAACTATATTAAGCCTTTCAACCTTATTTACTTGACCACACCAATAAAACCTTGAATTTTCCTGTTTCAATTAGAAAACTGAAAACTGTTACCAAAACATATTCAGGAACTGAAGGTGTGGATCAGTGGTCCAGTACTTTATTAGAATTATGAAGACCTGGGTTCTATCCCCAGCACTGAGGAAGTAGGGGAAACCCTACTCAAAGGAAATATTTACCTATAGTTTAAAAATAGTTTTAAAAAATGTTCTACCTGAATAAGAATTAAGGGAAACAGCCCAACGCACTGTCAGTCCCATTAAGACCACTACTGTCATCCAATACCACTTTTCCATAGTTCTTCAAATTCAGAGAAGAAAACAGGACCAGGATCAAAGTACTTTTATCATAGAGTCAGTCACTTATTTCCTTGATTAGAGGAATGTTATCACTTCTTTGGAATTACGTGTTTGGAGGATCTTAAATGATGATTTGCTTCTAAGCAGTCCAAAACTGATTGTGTCTGTGAAGAAGCCTAGGGTGGAAAAAGATATCAAGAATTAGCTTAACAATAAAATCTCTACACCAAGTAGAAAGATGTAAAATGAGGGGGAAGGGTGGAGATAGACACTGAAGGAAAGGAGATTCTGTTAAATTTCTTATTCCCTATTCTTTTTTTCTTTTAGTTTTTTTTTTTTTTTTTTTTTTTTTGGTCTGGGCCTGAGTTGTCCCAGAGCTCTTCAGCTCAAGGCAAGAGCTCTACCACTTGAGCCACAGCACCACTTCCAGTTTTCTAGTGGTTAATTGGAGAAAAGAGTCTCAGGAACTTTCCTGCCCCAGCTGGTTTTGAACCTCGATCTTCAGATCTCAGCCTCCTGAGTAGTTAGGATTACAGGAATAAGCCACTGGCACCCGGCTCCCTGTTCTCTGTAAAATGTGACCTGAAATATAATAAAGGTTTGTTTTCACAAGAGTGTATTTCTGAGAAAAGAAGATGCACAGCTAGTGGCACAATAAGTTCTATCTACAGCACATTTACCTACAAGGAGACAGAATACCACAAGATGGACCAAGAGTAAATTTCTCTTTGTTGCAGGGAAAAGGAGGAATTTTACCTTTGTATTTAGTAACTCAAAACCCTCAGTTCAAGCCCCCCATACAACCAAGAAGAGGGCAGGAACGAATCCCTTTCTCTTTCCTCCTATTGACTTCATTCTCCTTTGGTCATTTCGCTGTTCCTAGGAACTTGCCTCTGTGAAGCAACATAAAAAGAAAAATGCTAAATTAAATCATTCTCTAATTGAATTCTGGATTTGACACAGGTTACAGCCACTGTAAACTATTCAAATCCTTGTATTCCCATTGCTTGAATTGCTTTTTATCAAGATTAATATATTCCAGAACTGCAATACAACAGACTATTTCTTACTAAGACATATTTAAAATTCAAACTTTAAATAATCCCTAAATTTGAAAAAATATCATTAAGGGGCTGGGAAGTTGGCTCAGTGGTAGTGCATGCCTGAGGCCCTGGGTTCAATTCCTCAGCACCACATAAGCAAAAAGAAAAAAGCCGGAAGTGGCGCTGTGGCTCAAGTGGCAGGGCACTAGCCTTGAGCTGAAGAGCTGAGGGACAGCGCCCAGGCCCAGAGTTCAGGCCCCATGAACAGCCCCCCCCCCCAAAAAAAAATGATCCTCTTCCGGAGGAGGAAGTTCCTCTTTAATAACTTCAGGTGTATTTCTTAAAGAGTTAGAGGGGCTAGGAAGGTGATTCAGTGGTAGAGTGCTTGCCTTGCATGCATGAGGCCCTGGGTTCGATTCCTCAGCACCACATAAACAGAAAAAGCCAGAAGTGGCACTGTGGCTCAAGTGGTAGAGCGCTAGCCTTGAGCTGAAGAGCTGAGGGACAGCACCCAGGCCCAGAGTTCAGGTCCCACGACCGGACCCCAAAAAAAAAGTTAGGGGTGGGGTGCACGGAGATGGAGAAACAAAGGAGGAGGCACTAATGCTTGATAAGAAATGTACTCATTATCTTGCCCATGTAATTGTAACCCCTCTGTTCAGTATTTTCACAATTAAAAAAAGAACAAATGGCTTATTTCTAAAGTGTCCTTTAAATCTGATTTTGAAAACAAATTGTATCTGCATTGCTTCTAGAAATTTTCCCACTTTTACTGGGCATTCTACTTTTTTTCTGGGGGCAGGAGGGAAGGTTAGGGAGAGGATGGCTGGTACTATGGCTTGAACTTGGGGCCTAAGTACTCTCCCTTAACTTTTTCAAGTGGAGCTCTACCACTTGAGCCATACCTACATTTCAGGATTTTTGGTAGTTTATTGGAAATAGAGTCTCATAGACTTTCCTGCCCTGAAAGTCTTGAACCACGATCCTCAGATTTCACCTTCCAGAGTTGCTAGGATTATAGAATGAGCCAGGCTGCAGGGCGTTTCTGGTAGTAAAATGGATAGGCCTTCATGTCTTATACAACTGGGTCATGCTAGGAGCTGAAGGACATCAAGATCATTTCTTCCGGAGCTCCAGTGGCACAATAGGTTAGCGCACGGTACTTATAAGATCTCTTCCTTATATCTTCTACACTTAATATGAAATCTAAGTACCCTACACAGAAGCATATCTATGACCTGGCCTTTGCCAGCCTCTACAACTTCCTTTCTTGCTAGAACCTAACAAGTTCACTCAAGCTTAGCAACTTTATGCTTCTGTCACTCTGTTTGGCCAGCTCTTAGCTCATTGGCTAATTAATCTTTTGTCATTCATGCTATACCTCATGATGCTATATCATCACCACATCCTGATCAAATATCCCTTACTTTTTATAGAGTTACCTTGTCTTCCTGATTCTCTTCATCATTAGAAAGTATATTTTCAAACAACAAAGAATATTCTCATACAAAATTCTGAGTAAAACAAACTAGATACTAAAGAATACTACTTATCGGCAAAAGGCTCATAAAGAAGCAGAGGTTGGCAGCTAGATGGCCTACAAGGAACAAAGAAGGGATGGTGATTGGGAGGGGATCTAAGTGGTTAAAAGATGTGTTGGACTGGAGGTGTGACAAAGCTGTATTGCATCTGCCTAGAAAGCTTGAGCCTTGAGTTCAGGCTCCAGTACTACTTCAAAAAACAAAAACAAAAAACCTTACTTTGTGACGTATTAAAAATACTGTTAGTGGAAAACTGCTTTATTTTAATTAAAAAGTACAAATTATTTCTATTACAATACTTTTCATTGACATTTTCATACCTGTATACTAATATACTTACCCACTACCCTGTCTCCCTTCTCACTAGTCCCCCCCCCCCCCCAGCCCCAAGTAGTCCTCTTGTACCTCATGAGAATTGTTTCTTTTTCTTTTTTTTTTTTTGGGGGGGGGGGTCAGGTCATGGGGCCTGAACTCTGGGTCTGGGCGCTGTCCCTCAGCTCTTCAGCTCAAGGCTAGCGCTCTACCACTTGAGCCACAGAGCCACTTCCGGCCTTTTTTTTTCTGCTTATGTGGGGCTGAGGAATCGAACCCAGGGCCTCATGCATGCAAGGCAAGCACTCTACCACTGAGCCACCTTCCCAGCCCCTCTTTTTCTTCTATAAGAAAGGATTCTCCATTAATATATATAAATGATGGGGGGTTGGCTGTTCGTTGTGACACTTCCAAACAAATGAACAATACACTGTGATCAAAACTCACCCCCTCACACCTCTCCCTAACACTTCAAAAGTAGTTTCATTTTTCTATTCTCATTTATACAAATAAACTAATGGATGACATAACAAATAATAAGATAAAGGGAAATGACATTTAGTTGTCAGCTAAAATAAAAACCCATATGAGGGGCTGGAAACGTGGCTTGGTGGAAGAGTGCTTGCTTAGCATGAGGCCCTGGGTTTGATTCCTCAGTACCACATAAACAGAAAAAGCCAAAGTGGTGCTGTGGCTCAAGTGGTAGAGCGCCAGCCTTGAGCAAAAGCAGCTCAGGGGCAGTGCCCAGGCCCTGAGTGCAAGCCCCAGGATTGAAGGGAAACAAACAAAAGAGCCTATACGAGTAGAGATGTTGTGTGTAGTATTAGTACTTAGAAGTGTGTTGGCCAAGAAGCAGGAAGCCAACTTGCTGCACGGAGAAGATTCGTGTGTGTGAGTGAGCTAGAGTGACGGAGACGGCGACTCCTCCCCGCTTCTCTTCCACAGGCCTAAAAGCACAAACCGCGTCTTCCCAACTTTCCCCCCGCCGAGCAGGCGGGGAAGGGGCTAGGCGCGGGGCCCCGCTGGGCCGAGCGGCTCGGGCGCGCGGGAGGCGGGCGGCGGTGGGGACCCCGGCCAGCGGGGCCCCCCACACACACACACTCGGGCCCGCGCGGCCGCCCCGGCGGGCACGCAGGACCGCCAACCCCCTCGCTTTCCCCGAGGCCGTCGCTCAGGACCGCGGGCGCCGGGGGCGCCCCACGACAGACCCAGGCCTCGCGGCGCGTCCCCCAGGGCGGAGCGGGGCTGGGAGTCGAGTCCCGCGCCTGCCGCGGCGCGTCGCGAGCCTCCTTCACCTCCCTACCCTGGCCCGGGGTCTACAGGCCGGGAACCGAGGCTCTTACCCGCCGCCGGCTGCCAGCTGCAGGAATTCGCGCCCACAGCTTGTTCCGGAAAAGCGCCTGCGCAGTCGACCCCGGCACAGCCTCACGAGCGAGCGCGCGGGCCAGAGAGCGAGCGCGCAGGACGTGACGGGCGGGGCCGAGAGGGAGGCAGAGGTTTAGGGGGCGGGGGTTCCCGGAAGGCGGGGCTGAGAGAGGGCAGAGGTTTTAGGGGCGGGGCCTAGAGGAGGTGGCGGCTTAGGAGGCGGGGCTCAGGAACCCGAGAGGTGCCACCGCCCGGGTTAGACCCGGGGCAAGCGGAAAGCCCCTCGCTCTTCTTTCCCGGGATGGCGGCCAAGGCCAGAGCCGCTGCTTAGCCCACGGATTCCTATCAGGGGCGGGCCCTGGCCCGTGTTGCAGAATGGACCGTCTTGGCTGGTCCCCGTCACGGGGCAGCAGAACAAGGCCAGCCTACCTCTCTCTCCCAGCCACGCGTCCGCGATGAAGAGCGGTGGTCTGGAAACTCACTTCGTGTGAGCCACGTGGGTCGCACCTAAGAACAGCTCTGGCCCGGCGGGGCGGTGCAGCACCTGGGATCCAGCACCCGGGAGGTTGACTCGGGAGGCTGGAGGCTTGGAAGCCCGCCAGGGCTACGTAGGAGCAAGATCCTGTCTCAAAAAGGAAAAACTAAACGTTCCCCTCTACTAGTAACTGTTAGGCATGCCTCCATCAACACAGCTTAAACATTTGCCAAAAATGGTTGCATTCGCCTTCCTCTGGAGAATACTCTTATTCCCCTCCCCCTTCATTATCCTGCCATTCTGAAGGCCTCCGTGTCTCTCAGCTTTTACTATTATTTACAAGACTGTCAACCTGTGATGTGGAGCTGCGGCTCAAGTGGAAGCCCGCCTTGGGTGAAAAGGCTAAAAGACAGCTCCCAGGCACGGACTTCAAGCCCCAGTACTGCCGCACGTGCGCGCGCGCGCACACACACACACACACACACACACACACACAATTATCGTGAGCCTAGAAATACGGAGAAATACGGCCACGTCCCTGCCAATTTGGAAAGGTACTTTCACACATAAATGCATCGGGCTCCGTGGCTCACGCCTGTAATCTTAGCTATTCAGGAGGCTGAGATCTGAGGATTGCGGTTCAAAGCCAGCCCAGGCAAGAAAGTTCTTGAGACTTTTTTTTTTTTCAGTTATGGGGCTTGAACTCTGGGCCTGCGCTCTTCAGCTCATGGCGAGCGTTCTACCACTTGAGCCACAGCACCACTTCTGGTTTTCTTTTTTCTTTTTTTCTTTCTTTTTTTTTTTTGGTTGGTCATTGTGTTGAACTCTGGGCATGGGCACTGTCCGCCTACCACTTGAGCCACAGAACCAGTTCCGGCTTTTTCTGCTTATGTGGTGCTGAGGAATCGAACCCAGGGCCTCATGCATGCCAGGCAAGCACTCTACCACTGAGCCACCTTCTCAGCCCACTTCTGGTTTTCTGAGTGGTTTGTTGTAGATAAAGAGTCTCAAGGGAGCTGGGAAGGTGGCTCAGTGGTAGAGCGCTTGCCTTGCATGCCTGAGGCCCTGGGTTCGATTCCTCAGCACCACATAAGCAAAAAGAAAAAAGCCAGAAGTGGCGCTGTGGCTCAAGTGGTAGAGCGCTAGCCTTGAGCTGAAGAGCTGAGGGACAGCGCCCAGGCCCAGAGTTCAGGCCCCACGACTGGACCCAAAAAAAAAAAAAAAAAAAAGAGTCTCAAGGCCTTTCCTGCCCAGGACGGCACCCAAGTCCAAGTTCAAGCCCCATGACCAACCAAAAAAAAAAAAAAAAAAATGGGATAGGGCCTGGGAAGGTGGCTCAGTGGTAGAGTGCTTGCCTTGCATGCATGAGGCCCTGGGTTCGATTCCTCAGTACCACATAAGCAGAAAAAAAAATGGGATAAAAAGCAATATGTAGAAGCACATACTCAACGTCACACTATTGCTATACACATTAAACACTTACAAGTTGTGACTTGGGTTCACTGTAAAGGAACTAACAGAAAATGCTTTTCTAAAACAGTCAGCTGAACTTTGAAGAAAAAGCTAGGTATAGCAAGCCAAGAGAATGGGAGTCCTAATCTAAAAAGATGATTGAAGCCACAGTTCTTGCAGTTTAAAAGTGCAGAATGTTTGTTGGTGATGAAATGGAGAGATTGTGGAGAACCTTATCTTTTTATCTTTTTTTTTTACAAGTTTAGTTTCCTTATTCAGTTTGCATACATGCACACAATATATTTTGATCATATTTCAACCCCTATCTCCTTTCAACTATTTCCTTTCACCCTCTTCCCTGGGCTTCCCTCCTCTACAGTCCCCATTTCTTACATTTATCTCATCTTTTTATGATGCTTTTCTTCCTAAGTCTGGCTTCTTTTGCTTAACATAATCTCTAGTTTCATCCAATTTTCTGAAAATAACATAATTTCTTATCTATGGCTGAATAGTATTCCATTTTGCATACATACATATTTTCCTTTTGGATAAGACTGCAGTTTAAACTCAGGGTATCCTACAATTTGAGTCACCCCACCCCACCCCCAATCTCTTTTTACTTTTTTTTTTTTGTTGTCAATTATAGAGCCTCATCTCTGGGCCTGGGCGCTGTTCCTCAGCTCTTAGCTCAAGGCTAGCACTCCATCACTTGAGCCACAGCTCCACTTCCAGTTTTCTGTTGGTTAACTGGAAATAAGAGTCTCAGAGACTTTCCTGTCTGGGCTGGCTTTGAACCTTGATCCTCAGATCTCAGCCTCCTGAGTAGCTAGGATTACAGGCATGGGCCACTGGCACCCATCACTTCAGTTATTTTTTAACTAGGGTTTCATATGTAATCTTGGTCAGGTCTTGACTATGGAATCTTATTTATGTTTCCCCAGCACATGAGATGACAGCTGTGCAGTATCACTCTCAGGTCTTTTTATTTTTCCCCAGCTCTTTTTATTACTTGAGATGAGTGTCTCTTGAACTCTTTGCCCAAGCTGGCCTAGAACCATGATTCTCCTAATCTCTGGCTCTTGAGTAGCTAGGATTACAGGTATGAGCACCACACCCAGCTTATGCCATATTTTCATTATCCATCATTTGATAGACAGCTAATTCCAGTTTTGCGATTGTAAATAGTTCTGAAACAAACACAGGTTTGCAAGTAACTGTTGGATGCTAATTTACATTCCTTTCGATATATGCCCAAAAGTATGACAGTGTAGCAAGATAATATGGTAGTTCTATATTGTAGGTTTTTCTGAGGAACTTCCATACTGATTTTCATAGTCCCTGAACTCTTAATATTTCTCCTCCCTATACACACACACACACACACACACACACACACACACACACACACACACACACACACACACACACACATACACACACACATAGAAAGAGAGATACATACACATTGCTAGCATGTGTTCTATTTGTTTTCTTGATTATAGTCATTCTGACAAGGATGAGACAGAATCTTAATATCATCTTCATTACATTTCCTTTATGGCTAGGATATTGAACATGTCTTTATGTATTTAATTTGCCATTTGTTCTTCTTTTGAAAACTAGTTTTCTGTTTTATTTGATCATTTATTAATTGGGTTGTTTGTTCTAGACATTAATCCTTTGCTGGATAAGGAGCTGGAAAATATTTTTCCCATTAGAGCACAATGACTTATGCCTATAATTCTAGCTACTTGAGAGGCTGAGAGTGGGAGGATTAGAGTTTGAGGACAGCCTAGGCAGAAAAGTTCTTAAGACACCCCTACCCTAGCAACATATTGCGAGATGAGGTGGAATGTACCTGGCATACTAGCTGAATTTAGGAAGACAGCAATCCAGGCAAGCTCTGGGCACAAAAATCCATGAGATTTGTCTCACCAGAAAAACTGGGCATGGTGTCATTGCAGCTGCTAGAGGAAACCTAAAACAGATTACAGTCACATATATGCCTGGACAGGAGGCCAGATCCTACCTCAAAAGAACAACAATGAAAAAAAAAAAAAAATAGGGGCTGGGAAGGTGGCTCAGTGGTAGACTGCTTGCCTTACATGCATGAGGTCCTGGGTTCGATTCCTCAGCACCACATAAGCAGAAAAAGCTGGAAGTGGGGCTGAGGCTCAAATGGTAGAGCACTAGTCTACAGCTGAAGAGCTGAGGGACAGCATCCAGGCCCAGAGTTCAGGCCCCATGACTGACAAAAAAAAAAAAATTGCTCAAGTGCCTGCCTAGCAAATGTGAGACCATGAGTTCAAACTTCAGTACTGTCTATTTTCTGTAGGTTGTATCTACATTGTAGGAATTCTTCTTTTCTTTTTTAGTACTGGGGATCAAACCCAGTGTGTTGTACTTGCTAGTCAAAAGCATTATCATTAAGTTTATTCCAGCCCCTGACAATTATTTTCAGCAATGTGCAGAAGCCTTTTTAATTTGGTGCAAACTCATTTGTCAATTTTTGCTCTTACTTCCAGGGCTATTGGAATATTATTCAGAAACTATATCTTCAAATGTTTTTTCTATTTCTTTTGTGTAGTTGTTTCAAAGTTTTAGATATCACTTGAAGGTTTTTGATCCATTTTTAATTGATTTCTTTATTTTTTTTTTTTCCGGTCGTGGGGCCTGAACTCTGGACCTGGGCATTGTCCCTCAGCTCTTCAGCTCAAGGCTAGCGCTCTACCACTTGAGCCACAGCGCCACTTCCGGCTTTTTTCTTTTTGCTTATGTGGTGCTGAGGAATCGAACCCAGGGCCTCGAGCATGCAAGGCAAGCGCTCTACCACTGAGCCACCTTCCCAGCCCTTTTCATTGATTTCTGCACAGGGTGAGAGAGATGTAGTTTTGGCCTTCTATATGTGTGTCCAGTTTTCTAAATATCACTTATAGAAAGGATGCACCTTTGTATATACAAAGGAGCACCTTTGTAGAAAATCAGGTAGCATGGTCTAGAGGTGAAGCTGTGGTAGAGTGCTTGCCTTGCATGCACAAAGTCATAGACTCAATACCTAGCTCCAAGGAAAGGAAAGGAAAGGGGGAAAAAGAAAAGGGAAAAGGAAAAGAAAGGAAAGAAGTTGGGCACCATTGGCTAATGCCTATAATTCT